CTATCTTCCTGTTCGTTTCGTTCAGTCCCTGCTCCCAAGGTCTTGGCTGGAGAAGGACAATTCCCAGCCCCAGATTCTCAAGGTCTCCGACTGCAATGATCTGCTGAAAGCGAATGGATTTTCGGGTGTTGATGTCACCTACACACAGAAATTTTGCAGTGTTCTGCTGTCACAAGCTGTTGACGATGCTGTTCTTGCTGTGCGGGATCCAATTACTGCGACGCAGAAGATCGACGCAGAAGTCTTGCTTGTTCTAGATCCATCGCCTGGTACAATTGTTGAAAACCTGGCTTCTCAGCTGAAAGGCAAGCTTGCCTCTTACACTACAGTGCGGAGGGTCTCGGGCCTTGAAAACATCAATGTCCCCCCAGAGGCCATTATTCTGAATCTTTGCGATCTCGATAGCCCAGTTTTCCATCAGATCAGCGAGTTACGCTTTAAGGGTCTGCAAGAGATAATGCGTCAAGCTAGCGTTCTTCTCTGGGTTACTCAAGGTGCTCGAAGTGGAGCAAAACCCGAGAATACGATGGTGCTTGGATGGGGACGATCTGCTCGCCTGGAACGGTCAACTATGAAGCTTCAGGTTTTGGACATCGAGCACGAGTCACAGGCTGTGGATCCCGATCTCGTCTGCAAGCTATTGCTCAATCTTTGCAGTAGCAACTCAGGTAACCAGGACATTCTCTTTACACTGGAACCAGAATTGATGTTGAGAGACGATGCAATTTACATTCCAAGAATCTGGCCAGTCGATGGCCTTAACGAGCTCGCTGATACGAGATACAAAGAAGTATATGTGGAAGCTTCTCCGACAGATCCTTTTGCAGTACACGATGAGCGTGGGACACTTGCCATCGAACGACCCTATGGACAAACTCAATCAAGGAATCTGGAAGTGCTAGCATCGTCTGTGCATGGCTTCCGTTTTCAAGGTGAAGAGAATCCAAGGCAGCTCTGTGTCTCCAGGAATGTTGCAGGCGAAGTTCTGCTTACACTCTCGGACAAGGACTCGTTTGAAATTCTTTGGAAATTCGAGAACCAAAATGGGCGTGTTGGGTACCATCACCAGCTTCAAGCCTTGATAACGTCGGCACTTGCAGAGTCTACTCTTCATAACCTTTCGGGTCACGTTTGGATTCACGGTGCCCCTACTTGGCTGAAAAAGGAGCTGGATCTTGCAGCCTCGCGACGTGATGATATCCAGTTGTTCAACACTACATCGAATCGCGAGCTAGTCAAGGAGAATACCAAGTTCCTCCATGCTTTCACTACTAAGCATGACCTTGCTCTATTAAGACCGAAAGATATTACGGCATTCATTTGCTTGGACGATTCACAACAAGGTCGTAACTTGGTCGGCTTGGTTCGCAGCAGCTGGCCCTGTCTCCGCATTGAACTACCAGTTTTGTCATTGAACAGTTTCGATGGAGTTGTCTTCAACGGACTTAGCAAAGCCATGTTTGCTGACCTGGTAGAGTGGTATATCAGCAGTGGCTCTCTTGTCTCTGAGAATTCAGTAGAAGGAGCCGTGATCCCTGTTGAGGATATCTCCAAGACGTCCCCATCATACATCTTGCCAACAAGTGTCCTTGACAGAACGACCACGGCAATCATCACGGCCAAGCTTCTTCCACCAAACCACGATGGTATCTTCTCCGGTGAGAAGACCTATCTTCTGCTCGGCCTCGCCGGTGATTTTGGTATCTCCATTGCATTGTGGATGTTTGAGAGCGGAGCTCGCCATGTTGTATTGGCATCTCGCAACCCTGTTGTTCTCCAACCAGTGGTAGATCATGTTGCTGTGACTTATGGTGCTGCTTTACGCTTCATGGCTATTGATATCTGCGACGAGGCTTCACTATCGACTGCGTGGGCCGAGATTCATGAATCGATGCCCCCTGTAGCTGGTATAATGAACGGCGCTATGCTTATGCGAGATCAACTGTTTGCAGACCAGCCGTGGTCGGACTTTTCAGCTGTCATGGGTCCCAAGGTCAGAGGAACACAGAACCTTGTGACACTACTTGACCGAGAAACCAAACCAGAGCAGCTAGACTTCGTTGTGTTCTTTTCATCTGCAGTTGCGGTCGCTGGAAATGCCGGCCAGACTGCATATGGCTCATCGAATTGGTTCATGCAAGGCACAGCTAGCAACATGCGACAACGGGGTTACCCGGGCTGTGTTGTCCACATCGGAGGTGTCAGTGGACTGGGCTATGTTCAACGACATGAGAAACGCAAGATGCTTGAAGATTCACTGTATTGGCTTATGTCCCCGGTCAGTGAGACAGATCTCCACGATATGTTGGCTGAGGTTATCGCGGGCGAACGGCATGATCTCATTACTGGTATTCGTGGTGACATCCGGACCTACACTTGGCGAGAACAACCACGATTGTGGCATTACCTCCAGGCTGAAGACGAGAGCGACGATGCTACAGCCAAAGAAGGCAGTAGTGCATCTCTCAAAGTCCAGCTTGCTTCATCTGTCGCTGATCCAGATGTTTGTCTCGAACTACTCCTTGGTGGTTTTACATCGGCATTATGTGGAATGCTGCATATGAAGCCAGAGGAGCTTGACACCAATGTCCCTGTTGCCAGCATCGGTATTGATTCACTTGTGGCTGTCAGGGTTAGAGAGTGGTTTATGCAGCAGGTTGGCGTGGAGGTCTCTGTTTTGAAGGTGATGTCGTTGAATACTCCTTTGCTTGCTTTATGTAAGGATGTTTTGGCTATATGGAGGAAGCAGGTCAAGGCTTAAGATAGCTTATCATCCAAAGCTCGGTAGTTGAGTTGAAAGACATTTATTTATTTACTACTGCCATTGGCATTGAAGATGCTCTCAAGCACGCCTGCTAATTGGCTCTTATCAAATTTTGAACAAGTGGCGGTGTAGGACCCGACTGGATGGGTCTGTTGCTGTCAGGACGCTAAACCGTCGATTCAGCTCCTCGCTTGTGTCGTTTAGTTAGGGTGGATGCCCGTTCAGAGCTGACGCTTATCGTGCGCCTTACCCAAACTACCCCTGGCGCTGCGCCCTGTGGGCTTTTATTGACTCTAACGCGCCACAGCTGAACGGGCTTACCAGTACAGGCACGCTTAAATCGCTAACTCAACAAATTTGCTCTTGGCAATGAGGCCTGCGGATTTTCATTGATTGCCTGTCACGATAGCTGAAAATTCTTTTTGTTAAATATAGCTAGGACAAAGCAATAGCTGTTTGCTGAAGAGCTGAGTAGCAGACCATGAGAGATTAACATTGAACACGTACTTAGTTAGATGTAATAATTTCAGTATTTAATCTCTCTTTACCCGCAGTGATACTGGTAAATCTGCCAGGACAGCTTCTCCAAAATGGATTCTTCATCACCATCTTCGTCCCGTAACAGCCTAGACATTGGCAATGATGCTGCGAAACTCGAAGCAGCCAATCGTTATGTCCGCTGGAATCTTTTGTTTCTCGTCATCATCTTTACCTTTCTTGTCTTCCCGATATGGATGCCCTTTACTCCTTACGTCAATCAAGTGACCAATATCTTCATCGTCATCATCATTGGTCTTTTCCAACTCATCTGGCTAATAGCCACTATTTGCGCCATTCGTCGAACAATAGCCATCAATAGCCGAAAGAAACGCAAGCTTGCAAAGGCCCAAGATGTTGAAGCATCTCACGCAATGGCCTCAAACATCCATCACATAGTTGCCATGACCCTGTACAAGGAGCCTATGAGCGTGCTGCAAACAACATTAGACTCACTCGTGGAGCAAAAGGATGCCAAAACTCGTCTCTCAGTCATAATTGGCATGGAATGCCGCACGCCTGACAAGGAATCAAAACGCGATGAGGTATACGCGAAGTATGAGAACAAGTTCCGTCGTCTGATCGTTACCTTTCATCCCTCGGGCATTCCCGGCGAAATCCCCGGCAAGTGTTCCAACATGAACTACGCTTGTCGCCAGGGCCTACAGATTCTCCGTCAAGATGTTGAGTACAACTATGAAAAGCATGAGCATATTTTTACCAACTGCGACTGTGATGCCGTCTTCGACCCTGAATACATGCTGGAGCTTGAGACCGAGTACTTGAAGCTGGATTCTGCGGATCGTCACTACTCCATCTGGCAATCCGTCATCATCTACAAACGCGACTCAATGCCCTTCTTTGTCGACATTACCGGCGTTTTGAGAACCTTTTTCTTCATGGGTGTACTGATCCCTTGGAACATCAATCCCATGTCCCACTACTCTCTCAGCGTCAAGTTACTCGAGGAGGGTGCTTTCACTCATCCAGCCTACCAGATGGAAGATATCATTGCTCTGATACGCTACACCATCATGACAAAACGAGAGATCCGCATCAGGCCTTTGAACATCATTTCCATCAACGGCCCCACCTCGGGTGCTAACTATGTTGACGAGATACGCGAGTGGGCTCTTCAGATTCGACGATGGACCATTGGCGCAGGCGAAGTCTTCCATTACTTTATCGTCAAGACCTACAGGATGCCTGGATTGTACCTTTCCATCAGCTGGGCTACTCGCTTCTTTATTTACTATGGCCTTGTCCTTTGCGCCAGCGCTATCTTCTCTGTGGTATCTCCTATCATTGTTCAGTTGGTCAACAGTCTTGCTACTGAACATGATGCACTTTTTATCAGCGACTCTCTATTCTCAACCATTTGCTTCATCTTATTAGGGACGCAATATGCCTTTTTTCTCGTTGTTACCATTCTTGTCCGCTGGTATCTCCCTGTGCCTTGCGATGGCAAGAACGATTACAATAAAGGTGCTTGGGGTGTTGCAAGAGGACTATTGTATTGGATCCTGATGCTCCCGACCATTCTGGCGTACAGCTTTGTTGAGCTTTACTCCTTCTTTGAGTTGGCCTTTAGAGGAAAGGATGTTTGTAAACATAACGCAGCAAACAAGAGCAATTTAGTTCTTGTAAAGGATAGCGGAAATTGAGCTAGAATTAATCTACTTTCGATATATAAGGTCAATTATGTATGATCTCCATCCTCGCAAAATTGCTGGTAGCCAGAAGTTGCAAATAGTGGTGTGTTAAACCACAAATCCGAGATATAGAGAGACTCGCTGTAAGTAAACTCATTAAAAAACGGTGCATCGTCTGATGTTACTACACCCTCTGTTTGCCGACATGGCTCCCTTTGGCGCTCTGTTGGGGAAGAAGTGCAGTCAGCACCAGTCGCGCTGCCCTCAGAGGTCGATGGAACGGACAAGACCGGATCGACTCGGAACTGGTCTTCAACATCTGATGTTGGAATTCGCAGGTCAGTGATGATCTCCAGTATTCTCTGAGCATTGCCTGACTTTTCGCATAAGCTAATGGGTGGATGAGTCTCGCCCGCCCTTCTCGGAAAGTCAGCCCTCGCAGGAGCTGCGAGGCTGTGGGTGCTAACATCTGTTGTTACAAGACTCTGGGAAGCGCGATATAGCAACCAGCGTTCGGTGCGAACCATCGGCTCACGCCATCCGGCATATGTAAGGTGCCGAAAGAATTCTCCCTGTTGCCATAGCACTCGATCCGCAACTCGAATTCTTGACCTGGCTCGAGGACGCCGAGTTCAACTGTATCCGGCTGTAATGCAACTGTCCCTCTGCGTTTGCCGTTAAGATACACGACGATGACGGGTCCGGCAAAATGCGGGATGTGAAGCACAACTCGCTGAGCATCACATGTGCTGATAGCACCCCTGCAAACATATGTCAAGTTTCCAGCGTAAAAAGGGCAGTCCTTGTTTGGTCCAGTCTCCAAAAGCAATCTCAGAGGTATTGAGCGGTTCGAGGAAACACGCTTTTCCTCTCACTCGAACACTGAATTCTCCAAGCAAGTATACCCTTTCCAAATTAGTCAATAACCCGAAGGGCAGTCTGAGCTCCAGAGTATGAGTCCCAGGCGTGATGCTGAACGGCAGGTCGATTGTTCTTATGTCCTCATCGACCCACCAACCACTGTACTCTACTGGGACCTCTTGGTCATCAAATAGTACAGTTGTCCCCTGCTGGGAACTCTGCAGCGATCTTCGCGCTATGAATGGCCGTCTCAGACGTGAAACGATAGCGCAATCTGATCTCCGCCTTAGGCTCCCTCTCTCGACCGGAAACTGCCCAAGGCTGCCGGTAGGCCTCACCCTTCAGCGGCAGGCCAAGTCGTTCCCTTATAATGTTGTCGATGCGGAGGATCTCCGTTTCTGGCTCCCAGGCCTTTCCATCTGTAGAGAATGATGCATAGTCGAGAAGCAAAACATTTGGCTCTGATAACTCCACATGGTCTATGTCCACCTGAGCAACAGTAGTCCAATCAGCTCTGAAGACTTCTTGAGGAGTACCTGTAACCGTAGACTGGTTGGCGTATGGCGATAGCTCAACTAATAGGCTGCCACAGGCTTCAAAATGCCACTCAATCCACGTCCAGCCGTTTGATCTTCTGGAAACAGGGACGACGTTTCTTTCCCCTATGATGGTGTCCAAGACTGTTGGGATCCAAAGACCCTTGATCCCAATCTCTGTGGCAAAGCAGCGCTTTCTGTGAGTATTGCACATGAAGAGGAAAGACTTTGCACCATCTTGGCGAAGCTGATAAAGCATCGAAGAGATCGTGTCACCATTGTCTTTGCTGGTGATTCGGATATCTCTGTATGCTTCCAGGGACTGCAGAAGATGGTACTGAGTCAAAGGAATATGTTTTACATTGTCTTCCAGAGTCAGATTGACAGGCGCACTTCCATCGAGCATAGAGGGCAGATCTCCAGCAAAGATCACTGTACCGCTATTTTGCGAAAACCATCTCAGCCTATCCAAAGTCGTGCGGCGGATCGTTTTCAGGTTAGGAACCACTACAACGTCATACCGAGAGTCTTCAACCGGAAAAGGCGACCCGGGCTGGATACTGTCCAACGATGTTTGCTGAGGCAACAAGCTTTCCGAGACAAAGTCAAAATCCACCAGGCCATGTAGCAGCCATGATGTGACTGATGAGAACATGTCTTCGCGGAACTTGCACTTCGCTGCGCTTGAGTCCATTGGTCCATAATCGAGCCAGAAGCTCTCAATGGGGTGGATAACAGCCACGCGAACAACAGCTCTTCCCCTTGTCAACGCGATGTTGAGGCGTGAGAAATGATCTTCGATATACTTGTACTCTTTGTACCATGGACTCTGATAACCGATGCAAGCAGGATAGTCCCTCTTTGCTTCTCCTGCCATGCTGACCTAGCAAGAGTGTTAGTTATACGGATCTCGGGACAGGCAATGAGAATTACTTACCCAGGTGAGATGGCGTACTCGGAAAGTGATTCCCAAGGCGGCCTGCCAGTCTCCAGCACCTTTATGGCCGGCAAAGTCGAACGTCCAATTGGTCACGCCGTAAATCTCGCTCATCACACCGCACGAGCCATTCTGTCGAGCAACACTGGTAGCTTGTTTGACCGTGTTGTACTCATAGGCATCGCAAAGCATGTCCACGCCTGGCATGTCCAGGTTGCGATAGCATCGCATGGCCTCGCCAAGTGCCTTCGTCTGAGAGAGTAGGGTCGGCTCATGCATCATGTGCCCTATGAGAGCAATATTCTTGTCTCGACACCATGCGGCCACGGTGTCCATGAAGGCAGAAACAAAGCGTTCACAGACATGGTCATGAAAGTGGTATCTTGCGGCAGACGGCGCACCTTGAGTTATAGCGCATTGTCCCTTGTGCTGAGGGGCTGGAGCTTGTTGAACATCCCATAGTATACGCGGCAATTGATCTAATATATCGTAACCATATTCTTTTTGGAAAGACTGGGCAAAGCTTGCAGTCCAAGGCAAGAACAGGTCTTCCTCGCTCTCTGAATTAGCGAGTCTAGATTTGTGAGCGAACTGCGGCTCATCTGTGAAGATCGAAGGAACCGTTGTCCCAAAGTCAGACCCCAAAAGGGAATAATACTTCTCATGTGTCTCTTCGATGAACTTTTGGATAGCCCGGGGTTCAAGAGTGTCGACGTAGGTTTGCCCATTGAACCATTCTGAAGGGGGGTTAGGCTCAACATACGCAAACCAGGTATTAGATCCTGCCGTCTGGTCGTCGTCTAACCTCTTGAAAGACGTCGCTAGCCCATCATCGCCGCGCTGAAGATCATAGCGTGCGATCAAAGAGCCCAGCTCACTTCGCCGAGCTTGGCCATTGGCGCCTTGGAGCGGTCTGCAATGTCCTAGTGTCAGTAACTCAACGTCATGGCATTGGCAAAGCAGTAGTCTAACAATTCGGGAGGAAGTACTCACGGCGGTAAATTGAAGGAGCCATACTTTCGCTTCGTCAACAGGAGATGCACGGCCTTGAACTCCGGATTCTCAGCCACAACAAGCCCGCCAGCAGCACCACTCGGCCACCTATCCTCATCGTATAGACAGGCAAGGAGGCCCTTGGCTTTAGCAGTCTCAACTGAAGCTTTGACATGGCCCATGAACTCTTCACCCATGTACGGTGTATCAAGGCCAACGCGGCTATGAATATGAAAGCCGCCCAGACCCATTTCCGCAAGTTGATCAATCTGTCGAAGGAGCCTGTTCCGTTGTAATTTGGTATTCCAGCACCAGAGAGGAGCTCCGCGATACTCAGCTGGCGGATTAAGGAAGTCATCCTCGCTCCACGCCAGTTCGGCCTTGAAATAACGTAGACGGGTAATCGTGGTAGCGCCTTTGTTGAGTAGGAGTATTAGGTGGTAGCAATCACAATACCAAGATTCAGGAACGGGCAGAGCTAGTGCCACGAAGACCACTTTGTACTGTTCTATCCGGCGGATGATTCTCTTCTGTATTTTCTTTCCTGGGTTGTAGTCCTGTTCAATTGATCTTGGGCCTAAGCGTCGCGGTGATGTTCCTCCGACCTGTCGGCGATGTTCCGCCGACGCGAAGATCACGCTAGCGAGCATTGCCGCCCTGTGGAGCATTAGGCGTCCAGATGAAGTCCCCCATACCGTGCCATCCTCCTCTCCTTAGAAGCAAAATCATCGGAGGAGGTCTCGTCGCTGCATGTACATCCGACCCGGCCCTAAATCTGGGGTCATACAGGACGAAAGAGTTTATCCAACTTCCCCACAGTCCGAGGGTTAGGTACGCATAAAAGAAATCATTCTTCCCCGGATCAGCAACCCCAAGTTCCACAATTCTCCAGTTTCCTGGGGTATGCATGAACCCATCGGCGTCAACTTGCACAACATCTTGACACAAAGCACCATTCATCCCTTTTCTTAAACAGCACTCCCCGTCAAACAGTCAAAATGCTAGGCATGGACATCACCACTTATTCTTCCCTGGTCATTGCGATCGGTGGGTACGTTTGATCCTCTAGCAACATTCATCTCTCCGGTTTGAGCCTGCTAATGACTCATTACCACTATCTAGGCTTGTTTATGGTGTTGACACAGGTATCGTCGCGACCACCATCGCCCATGATTCCTTCAAAACATACATGTACGGGTCCCTTGATCCGAGGCCCCAACTCACTGGTGCCATCGTCTCAACCTATTATGCTGGCAACTGCATCGGCTCTCTTACATCTGGTGCCATCATGGACAAATGGGGTCGCAAGATTCTTGTCATGCTTGCCACACTTTGAGCCATCATCGGTACTGTGATCCAAACTGCTGCCGTCAACGTTGGAATGATGATTGCAGGTCGAATCATTGCCGGGCTTGCCACTGGTTCCTTAGTAACCATTGTACCCCTTTACATTGCCGAGCTCGCACCCCCAGAGAACCGAGCTTATTTGGTTGCGCTCAAAGGTCTGCTCACTGGCATCGGGTATCTCATTGCGAACTGGATCGGCTATGCGGGCTCATATGCTAAGGGCGATGTGCAGTGGAGAGTCCCTCTGGCCATGCAGATTCCTCCGGCCGCTCTCCTGCTTATCCTTGTTATCTTTCTTCCGGACTCTCCTCGATGGTGTAAGCACTCTGTCTGCCAACCAGATTCATGGCCTAATTGCTAACTAAATGTCTCAAGTGGTTACAAAGGAGCGTTACGAAGACGCGGAAAGAGTCATTGCGATGCTTCACGCCAAGAAGGGAGAGGACTTCATTCAACGTGAAATGCTGGAAATTCGAGAACAGCTTGCTCTGGAACAAGCCCAACGGACAAGTGCAAGCTGGGTAGAACTCTTTACCCTCCGCTACGCCAAGCGACTCTTACTTGCTTGTTTCATCCTCAACATGACCAAGCTTTCTGGTGGTATGTGAAGACCATGCTTGTCTCGAGAGGATTAGCTGATCTAATTACATGAATAGGTGGCGTCATCCAAAACTACCAATCGCTATTCTATGCTGGACTTGGCTTCGAAGGAAGGACAGTTCTCCTTATCAGTGGCTGTTACGGATTCATGGGTGTTATCGGTCAAGTCATTAACATGGCGTTTGTATCTGATAAATGGCCACGCAAGCGAACGATGTGTAAGGGCTCCTCCCACCAAACTACCCGTGGTTTACAAAGCTAACTTCGTGGGTCTCAGGGCTTGGATCTCTTGTTCTAACAACTTTCCTGGTTCTCCTGACCATCATGTCCCGGTTTTACGGCGATGGCAGCCACCTCGCTGGAGCCGCAGCCGGCGTCGCCTTCATTTTCCTGTACTCGGCCTGCTACGCTATCTTCTTTAACAGCACAGTCTGGGTCGTTGTGTCCGAGATCTTCCCACAGCATCTCCGCGGAAACAGCAATGCCTTTGCTGTCTTCTCCATGTCTGTGACAAACATTTGGCTGTCCCAGATTACACCATACGCATTTGAGGCTATCGCTTGGAAGTTTTACTTTGTCTTCATCGCCCTTAACCTGACCGCCGCCGTTGTCTACTGGGTTTGGCTACCTGAAACCAATCAGCTGACCCTGGAGGAGATTGCTGGGGCATTTGGAGACGAGGTTGTTAAGTCTGATAAGCTTGATCATGACCACAAAGAGGATACTAGTAAATGATCATATGAATATTATGGCCAGAGTAAAATATTTACATCGACCAATTTTATAATCTAGGGTTAAGACAATTTTCCCCATCCTCATCTTAAAAAGGGATATGATGAGAAACTTATGGGTTTCAATGCCATTCTAGGTTAGAATAGCACCGCGACCAAAAGCCCGAACATGGGGGGACTGGAATTTTAGTTAGTATAATGCTCAAGATATCCACATAGAAGTCAGCACGTGTTGGCAGACGTCTCGATGTCAGGTATTGAGATGGTTGCCACTTCACTTAGCAATTTATCCCATGGATTATTCACAGCAGGCTCAATGGGGACTCTGACAACCCAATGTGGCTCGTCGGCGGTAAATACAACAAAGAAGCAAACATTAAAACTGCCGCTGGCCTGGTTCACGACTCGACAAGACTTACTATGGTTATATTTTGACGCCAATGCACAGATGGCAGATAGATCGAGGGACTCGATAAATGCTCGTCTTGCTTGGATGGACTGGTCTTCGGTAACAGCGGGGAACAGTTTGCTACTCAGACTGGAGCCGCTCGTGTCCGTGTCCGATTTACTAAGCTCTGGCGCGTGGACCTCATTCGTGGCATTGTCGCTTAGATTCTGGTCTCCAAATGTCTGAGGAGTCAAGGAACAAGAAAGCTGCAGGAGCCGATTCCACAAACTAGAGAAGCAGGCAAAGAACAATGCCAAGGGCATGCTAAGTCGCCGAAGTATTGCGGATAGCATGGCTGGTCCAATATCGATGATACATTGTTGGGTAGCTATGGATGACGGCGGCCTATAAGGTTAAGCTTTAGGCTGCGAACACATTGTTGAGTAGATGTTGGTTAATTGACTGATGTTCATCAAGTCGTGTTGCTTGGAAAAGGAGAGCTACTATTCGGCTAATAGTAAGTCCGAGAGCCGCCTAGCCTCACGGCAGTACCTAGTAGTGGGTGATCATCGCTGCCTCGAGTAGTTCGATAGGGAATTTGCAGAAGTTGATCAAAAACTAGAAAAGCAAGCAAAGAGCGATGCCTAGCGCATGTAAAATAGTTGAACTATTGCGGATAGTATGGCTGGTCTAATAAGGACAATGCATTGTAAGGCAGATGTTTATTGATTGACAGTTGGATTATGTAAATTGGAAAAGGTGAGCGGACAATCGGTTAATAGTAAATCCGAGAATTACTCACCGCGAAATGCTGGGATAGGTGGACTGGACCAATCTCTATGGTGGGGTATGATGTGCTATAGATAGCAGTGTACCCAGACTAGCCAGACAATTGGCTGCTGGACTGCCAGCCCTTAATACGGCAGTATAGGTTAAGTTCTACTTAAAGTCAACATTAGCCCTAGCATTACTTGCCATATACCCGTGAGTTTTGTTATAAACTAAGTTATTAGGAGCTTTACTTATATTAGAGTTCTTTGAATTTATAGTTAGCTCTGGTTTAGAAGCAGAGGCTGGTATCTAAATCACAATGCTAAGGCTGGCGCATTTTATAAAAATCTTAGAGTCTGCATCGTGTTTTGGAAAGTATTAGTAACCTATTTACCGCAAGACAAAAACCGAATTATTACATTTAACAGAGATATAGCTTCAGGGCTTGAGGCTAAAGTTGTCCAGGAGCTCGGCCCCAACCCAGCGACAGCAGTCATCTATTCCCGTTGTAAGCGCCATCATAATAACTCCAAGCTCGTCCATATCTTCCGGTCTCGCCGCGGCCATATCCAACTCCCAGTGAGCGAAGCGTATAGGCAATGTATGAGACTTAGAAACAGCGGACTCCCACTCATATCTCGACGTGGCGGACCAAAGAGCCCTTTGACCAAAAAACGATAACGCCGGGAACTCATGGTGAGCATCATCCCAGCCATTCCTCAGGAATGAATACAACCCATGCAGGCTATATCCTATAATAACAGTGCGTCTCAAGCTTTCAGCAAGACACCAAGCTTCCCAGGCATCAGAACCTGGTGTCATCAATTGACTGCTCATGATTTGTGTTGATTCTTCAACGCTTTTCATGCGCTGTTGTAAGCGCCGAATACTGCTGATAAAGAAAGTCTCCACATTCTCAGCATTTGCTCTTTGACGAATGTCTCCGTCTAGTAAGCGAATTATCTGCAATAGAATAAATGCCTGAACCGAAGATAATAACTCGACGTCAGAATCGGCCAGTTGTGTGAGATCAATCAACTCATCAGCATATTGCTGAATTGTACTGTAAACCAGCTGCTGGTTTGTCTCACACTTTCTCTCATAAAGCGCACAAATGGCCAATAATCTTGTAAGTGGCGGAGGGAGATACTTCTCGACTACTCTTTTATGAATGAAAGGAACCTGTCCGTGAAGAACCAACTGCTTGGGGTATGATTTGAATCGCTCAATGGTGTATACAATACGACGTTGATATTTTTCGCCGGCCAACACACTCTTCTCAGCCGTGTCATGCGGATTCAATAAGTCTGGCACCAAGAAGTCATTGAGATTTGTCATTGCTTCCTGCCAATCCAAGTCGTAGTCTGGAAAAGGCGGCAAGGCGATGTTATCAGCATCGAGGGTTATATCAGATGCAGTACTCGCACTTTGTGGCTCTCTTTGAGATTCATCCCCTGTGATTCCTGCGGTTTCTTGAGGAAGACCTTTAGAACTTCGCGGTAGGGTTTGTCGTGTCGAGGGACGTGGATAAAGGCAATCAAGTGATCGGACACGACAACGATAACATTTTGGGACGGCCATGTCGCATCGTCTTTTTGACTTGATGCATGCAGCGCATGCTTGGCGATAAGGAGGGGGCATAGAAATGAGAAGTTGGCGCTGGCCTCTTGAACTCTGCTGACGATGATGAGGGGAAATTGCTGTGAGGGGATCTCGACTTCCGCACTTTAGGACTATCTGATTGGCTTCGCTTATTTTGGCTTCCGCTGCTTAATCTATGGGTCCATCGCAAGTTCCACCTCCACTCATACCAGCTAATTAAATAGCGATTTTGGATCTTGTACGGCGGAAGTAGAAATGGCGGAAGTAAGCTCCGCAGAGGCATAAGGTAAGCACCCATATTTTTGCTGGCAATTATGTTAGAAATCAACAATATATAATCATTGAACCCAGTTGGTTGGAACATCTTGCTCTCTAGGTATAAATACGAACTGCTGCTTCCGCTACCAATCTCCTGCCAGACACTTCGACATCACATCTCCAACAGCCTACCTCTAAAGATACATCCCCAATAACCAACACCATTATAGTCATGGCTACTTTCAAGCTAAACTTTGTTCCAACGTATCACTATGATACTTATGACGCTATCTCTGAAACAAATCCTGACCTATCCTGCGAGGGAAAGGTCGTCTTTGTTACAGGCGGTGGTCGAGGAATTGGCCGTGAAATCGCAAAGGCCTTCGCCGTCGCTGGAGCTAAAGGCATATTTATTGTTGGAAGGACTGGTACAGACTTACTCAGTGCTGTAACGGAGATCAAAAGTCTCTCGACTGGCACTCCAGTATCAGTTCACCATGCCGAAGCCGACATCACGGTTAGAGAGGCTGTCGCAGCTGCTTTCAAGCAGGCCATTGCGACATTTGGCCACATTGATATCCTCATCCAGAACGCAGGATATCTAGATGCCCATCGTTCTCTGCTGGACTCCGATCTCGATGACTACTGGAAAACGTTTGAGATCAATGTCAAAGGAGGCCTACTCGTAACCCAGCAGTTCCTCAAGCAAAGTCAACCAGGTGATACAATTATCAATGTCGGATCTGGAGCTGGGCATCTACCCCCTATCCCGGGCTACTCTGCCTATTCCGCATCAAAGCTTGCATTCGCAAAGATGATAGAATCTGTCCAGCTGGAGAACCCGCATCTTCGCGTTTTCAGCATCAATCCTGGTGCCATTGCCACAGAGATGCAGAAGAAGTCTGGTGATATCGCTACAGTGGACAATATCCGTAAGTTCCACTATTTCGGGAATTTTAGTTCTCGGTCTAACACCTTTAGGGCTTCCGGCGTCGTATTGTGTCTGGCTGGCTGCTTCGGAAGAGGCTGACTGTCTGAAAGGGAGGTTTCTTTGGACCAACTGGGACGTCACAGAACTGTTGCAGCGGAAGGATGAAATAAACGAGCAGAATCTTTTGACTCATGGCCTTATTGGTCTGTAACTCTGTTGAGCATCAGGGTATCGGTGTGGATATGTAGTAATTCGAATTATATCTATGCAACTATCTGCCAATGCCAGCGCATGGCTGGGTTCCGTATTGCACGCAGCACTAAAGCCAGCTCCTTGTGTTATAGCTTGCTTGTCATCTCCAGCACAATCCAGCAACCTAAGCACTTATTTTATCGGCTGGTCCAAGGACTGGGTTAACATGGTCTGTAAAAGGGTCAGCGCTTAATACGATATTTTTAATTGGCGTTATTGGCGTGGCGCTATATTCGGCGGCTTTTGCGTACTACTCAAGCACGCAAAATACCACAACATAGCTACGTCCAGTCTCACCAAGTCAACGCTACCAACTTACAATTGTTTTAATTCTCTCGAGAAAGTGTCCCTTCTAGAATCCCGTCGTGAGTACCTGGTCCAGCATGTCGACAAAGTAGTCAGCGGACTGTTGCGTAATGCAGAGCGGGGGTTTGATCTTCAGCACATTCTGGTGATCGCCGGTGGGTTGCATGATGACTCCCAGTTCCAGCAGCCGGTTGCAGATGGCCCTGGTCTCCTCTGTTGCAGGTTCCAGGCTGGTGTGGTCGCGCACAAATTCGAGGCCCAGGTACAGGCCATCGCCATGCACGGTGCCTATGAGGGGGTGACATTTGCCCAACGCCTGCAGCCGCGCCTTTAGGTAGGCACCAACGATCCGCGCATTCGCCTGCAGCTGCTCCTCTTCGATAATGTCCAACACCGTGAGTCCGACCACTGATGACAGAGGTGATCCACCAGTAGAAGAGAAAAAGTACCCCTGGCTACGGTATCGATCAGCAATAGAGCGGCTGGTAATGACGGCGCCTAACGGGAAGCCACCGCCAATAGACTTAGCCACCGCCACAATATCGGGCACAACATCCTGCTGTTGGAAGCCCCAGAACCAAGAGCCCAGACGGCCAAAGCCCACCTGGACCTCATCGGCAATAGTCACTCCGCCCAGGTTGCGTACTGCCGTATAGACCTCGCGTAAGTAGCCGTCAGGCAGCGCTATGCCGCCGGCGTTGCCGTAGTAGGTCTCGCTCAGGAAGGCGGCCGGCGCACGCCCTTCGGCAGCCAACGACTGCAGACGTGCCACTGCGTCAGCGGCATAGTTCTTCGCGGACTCGGCTCCACGATGACGTCCGCGGTAGGCATTGGCCGCCTCGACGGTGTGCACCCAGTCGGGCCGTGTCTGCAACGCGTGCGGATTGTCGGCGATCGACGTGGAAACGGCATCGCTGGCATAGGTCCAACCGTGGTAGGCCTCAGCCATGGCCACCACATCGTGACGCTGAGTGGCCGCTAGCGCCAGACGAATGGCTAGATCGACCGCCTCAGAGCCCGAGTTAACAAAGAAGACCGTATCAAGCGGATCAGGCAGTTGAGCGGCGAGCCGTTCGGCATAGCGCGTGATAGAGGCATAGTGAAAGCGCGAATTGGTATTAAGCAGTCGGGTCTGCCGTGCGACAGCCGCGGAAATGCGAGGATGGGCGTGGCCTACCGAAGCGACATTGTTGACCATGTCGAGGTAGACACGGCCGTGGACGTCCATCAAGTATTCGCGCCAGCCCCGTTCGATCTGTGGTGGACGGGCATAGTAGTGCTCCTGTACCTCTGCCACCACTGCTTCGCGCCGTTCCAGCAGACCTTCATCCTCCACATCATTTGTGGGCGGCGTCACGCCCAGCGCTGCGGTTGCATCTCCAATCACCACGCTCCACCCAGGCAGATCGACGGCAGGGATCGCGGTTGGCACATTGACTGGATCAAGCGTGGTCAGCAGCACGTCAATGCGGCTGCCGGCTGCAACTGTCGCTACTCCGACGGGCAGAACCGCCCCACCTTGTCGTACATATAGATTGGCAGGTATTTCAAGGGTGGCCGCAGCGGTGAACCAGGCAGACGCCGAAGTAGGGACCGTGGAGGGTAGGCTTGGTGTCCTGGCTGGGGCACCTAGCAGCACTGGTCGCAAGGCCGGTAGCACGACCATATCAGCACCCTGGGCCAGTAAGTGCTGTGCGGCACGCTCTATTGCATCATTCTGAAGCCAAGCTCCCTCGTCGGCCAACGTCGAGAGAGTAGAGGCATCAAGAACCACCGCCGATCGTGGCGCTGCCAGGATCGACTTGCCGCTCCAGCGCGGCGCTATGGCATCGGGGCGTCCCAGCGTATGGCGTATCTGGGCGGTAACCACCTCCAATGGCACCTCAGTGGCGCGACGGAGGATCGTGGACTCGCGGTCCAGCGCTCGCTTGGCATACTCATTATCAACGTCGAGACGCACCTGTTGACGTCCACTGAGCACTAGAACGACCCCACGCAGGACCACCAACGGCCATAGCGCGGTAATCTCATCGTCACTGAGACGGCGACGTCGATCGAATGCGGCAATAGCCGGCAACACAGTGCGGAAGCAGGCATCGGCGTGGTGCAGCATCGAGGAAACGGTGATGGCAATCTCTGCCACCGCCCACGATTCAATCACATCGCCAAAGTCGATCACGGCATCTGGGAGGCTGAGCACATTGCCATCCGGACGCAGGACATTATCGTCAGTGACGTCAAAGTGGCCCAACTGACGTGGCAGGCGATCTGATATTGGGCGTAGCAACGTTAACGCGTGTTGGCTGGCTTCGGCAGTAACCGCTCGCACGTTGACATCGGGCTCAGTGGCGGCAATGGTGTCAATAACCCGTTCGGCATGTCGTAGATCCCACTGCAAGGTACGTCCCGAGGCAGGATGGGTCTCAGTTGCCAGGGCCACACTGATCGCGGCTGATAGCTCGCCCAGCCGTTGCACCACGGCCGGGCTGAGGTAGTGTGAGCCGGTCAGTGTGGTACCTGACACGAAGGAGATGATGCGGCAGTGTAGACGTCCCTGACTGGTCTGCCACCACCCCGACATGACACCCCGCGGTCCCTCAATGACGTGAGGGATACGCAGGGATGGTTCTGCACGGGCAACGGCAATGGCGGCGGCATCCTGCATCTCAATCTCCAAGCCACTAAAGACGGGGTTGCTGATCTTCAGCACGCCCAACGGCTCGGTATGGGCGGTAGTTAGGACGAGAAAGTTCTGGTCCTGCTGGCTGCCGAGCGGCTGCAAGTTGGCAGCAATGCCAAACTCTTGGTGCAAGAGGGCACATGCCTCTTCGAGAGGCAGCATTGGTGTGGGTAGTTCAACATGGGAAAAGTAGTCGAATGTAGTCATGATGATTCACTTAGTACTACAGAGAGTCGTCAGTTATCTAGGTAATGGTGCTGGATGGCGTTAAGTAAAGTATAAATACTCCCCAGGTCTCTGTACTAACCTAGCTTTTATAGCAGTAGCAGAATAGGAAGGTAAAATACATATAAAAGATCTCGCATACTTTACCCTATTTAGAGTTAGTGTAGAACTTAGGGAGTAATTTATTTAAGGAATGAGCCAATACCGCCAGGGCTTGAATCGGATGAGACCAGTCGACTCCACAACGATATCCTAAAACAGCTAGACTTTGTCTTAGGCAATGCTTGACTGAATAGGAAAGAAAATAGGCCATATATTAAAGTAGATAAATGAATGAATTTCATAGGAACACAGTTTATGGACATTGTTATATTACAGCGAACAATGCAGGCTCTATCTCATTCCCCGGCGCGGTTAAGTAAGCATATTGTAATGTTGGGTAAAAATCTCTTTATATCCTATATCGCTATGAATTTCCGTTTGTTTTGGCCTGTTACGTTCCCCGCCTTTTAGTTTACTCTAGAGCGTTGCGTTGCTTTTCTGGGCTCTTTGGAAGTAGATTTACCAGATTTACCTGTAAATATAAAGACTGTTACATGGGATCCCGTCTGATACCATGTTTGCTTTATTTTTTTTCGTCAGCGTGCTACCTGGAACCAATGACTGCTCTGCGGCCCTGCCAACACGTCCATTCTAGCCAATCACTATTTCAGGCTTGAAATTAAGTTCGTCCCTCTGCTGGTCTCGCAAAGAGTAAACTGGTGAGACGCGTACGAGAGAAAGGAAAGAGTGTCTCAACTAAAAAACCTTGGGAAGCTGAGGAACCTAAAAAGTCTCTTGAATATGTGAGCGTGTCGTTCTTTTGTCATATACCTATCTCATCAGAATCAACCGCGTTGAAGCACCATCGTACCTCCATCGGTCCCAGCCGAAGTCAAGAGACAGCGAGAGCGAGATGTGGCGGAAAACGACGTGAACAGTCGCGTTGCCAGGGCCAGACCGAGCGACCTCAAGAAGCCAACAGCCACGAAAGTGTCCGACTGGTGAGTCAGGCCCATCATACGGAGCTGGTGCTACTAATTGTTAGTGGGCCTGCTGATACAGTTCTTCCTTTTCCGTCGATTTACTTATCGTGTTGTTTCCCAATAGGCTATCCACGCGAAAACTACCTTTTAGGTGACCCTGCCGCCTGGTCGGCCGCACGGTCTCGATCTTGTCACTACTCGACATATTCTATTTGGGTCAGTGAATGTGAATATATCAGGGATTCGCTTTGATATATATCTATTCTTTTCCGGGGCCTCGAGAGCGTCTGCATCACGGAACGGGGTTATCTCTGGATCGCCAAAAGGACCTTTATGATTGATACTTAAAGCTTATAACGCCTCAGCGAGGCATATCAAGCCAAGGGACCTTGATGAAGTATGATTATTCCAGCGGCATTCAGTAGCATCTCTGATCCTCTCCGTCAAGATCTTCCTGGATCTTTTGGCATTGCCTATGCAAAGTCTCGTTCCTTTCAGGAGCGACCCGAGACGGGTAGGTGGAGAGCAGGAGATGAAGGTAGGGCTTGCCACTTACAATACGCGTTACCGACCGATGATCTTGGACCGTTCTGGCCGTCCTTCGTTCAAAGAGCTAACCCGTTCCGATCCCACACCAAGGCTGTAAACAGTGTTGCGTACTTCAAGAATCCAAAGTTGCTATTTCAAGCCCACGATCTTAAGAATATCTTTGTAACATCAAGCCTCTACGAAACCATGGAACTTGTTCATGATACTGTCCTCTCCGGAATGGATACTTAGCAGATAGACCTGCACTCTGGCTGGCTAGATATTGGAATGCGTGGCTATGTCCCTGATCAACTATGTGGTAACGATAATAGGACTGAACCTTTCACGCTACTATGGAAAGGTGATTGTCATTAAAATTTGCACCGTAGACTTGCCAATGGGTGCGGTCAAGAAATCAAACATGAGTGCTCTTCCAAGAATGAGACGAAGCCGTGGTAGGATGATTAGGCTAAGACGTACAGGGATGGGTTTCGGGTTGAGGATTTTAAGCCTCTTGTAAATCACAAGGACGTTTAATGATCGATACCAAGCATCAAGGAGTTTAAATAGCTAGCAAGGATCTATCAAATAATACTATACTGTGCTGGTGATTAACACAGTCCTTTTTAACGCTATAAATAACTCAAGTCACAGCCACTAGAACTTTTCTCATGACTTCGGTGGTAGTGGTAAGACAGGCCACTCGTAATCTCTTCTAAACGGCGAACGAAAGGTCCACTCACCACAACCAACCTCCTTCGCCTCTTCATTTGCCAAACCAGGAAGAATAATCTCAGCAACAGTGTTTGGCGGAACCTTAACCTTGATATGGAACTCCTCTTGTTTTCCGTCAATAACCCTCGTTTCCCAGTTAAAGGAAATCGTCCCTTGAGGAGAGACATGCGACGCGGCAGCTTGAGAAAAAGTAGCACCAATAGCAGGGGAGATACGAACTTTCCTCCATCCGGGCTCAAGTCTCTGCAGCCCGGCAACTCTCTCATACATGAACTTGGCTATAGCGCCAAACGCGTAATGGTTAAATGAGGTCATTTCTCCCGGGTTGATAGAACCATCAGACAACATACTGTCCCACCTCTCCCAAACTGTAGTTGCACCCATAATGACTGGGTATATCCAAGATGGACAGCCTTTCTCGAGCAGCATCGCGTATGCAACTTGGGCGAGGCCGGTAGATGCAAGGGCTTCACAAAGAAATGGCGTAGCGGCAAATCCGGTGCCGACCTTGAACTCGTTCTTTCGCACAAGTTCCACGAGACGGTCTCCTGCGCGTTGCCGTTGCGCTGGTTCAAGGAGGTCAAGACAAATAGCTAGTGCATATGCAGCTTGCGAATCCGAGGTCATGCGCCCTCGGGGTGTGACGTATTCTTGCTGGAACTCGATTCTTGTTGTCTGGTAGTCCTCCCTGAATCTCTGTTGTTCATCCTTTTGTCCCAGCACGCCACATATCTTGCTCATGAGATCTAGACTCTGGAGCAAGAACATGTTTGACACCATCTTGGCGTCTGTTGCCCCTTTCCACGGTTGATCTGGAGGCGCTGCTGGGTCAAGCCAGTCCTATTCCAACTATCAGCACTATGAAATTATGAAGTCAATATACAAAACTTACACCGAGCTGAAAAGGTTTAGGATCCCATAGTCCGGAAGTTTGTCGAGGGAGCACATTCATCCACTTCATCATACTATCATATTGCTGCGCTAGGATATTCTCATCTCCGCTCTCTTGATAAAGAATCCAGGGTGCTATTATCGTGACATCATGCCAGATGGCGCATGGCACTCTTCTACACCAGATGGGATCTGGCAGGGTAGCATTCGGACTGACCATTGGGGGAACACCACCAAGAACATCTTGATCATGAGCAAGATCGATCAGCCAATTTTTCAAGATCCCAAAGCAGTCATAAAGGAGACATGCTGTTGGGCCAAAGAGAGACAAATCTCCAGTCCAACCCAGTCGTTCATCTCTCTGAGGACAATCAGTCGGCACGGAAAGAAAGTTACCTCTCATGCCCCACACGATATTCCGATACAGTTGGTTCAGTAGCGGATCAGAGCATGAGAAGTGACCAGCGGGCTTCATGTCAGTGTGGCACACGACAGCTTCGACACAGGACTTGTGGAAAGAACCGGGCCAATTATCAATCTGAGCATACCGGAATCCATGAAAAGTGAATCTTGGTTCCCAACGTAAGTCGTCCGGTGAATCTTTGAGGGTAATCTCGTCCTTCGCTTGGCATATTCTCAAAGGTCGAATACAAAGCTCTTCGTTCTCCATGACTTCAGCATGCTGAAGGGTAATCTTGTGTCCATTGGACCCTTTGATGCCTGATAGACGAAGATATCCAACGAGATTCTGACCAAAGTCAAGCACTCTTTTCCCACTTGGTGTCGTGATCTCCTTGACAGGATATACGGTTTCGATCCGACGCACTGGCTCTGCGAAGCCTGCAACGAGTTGAGTAGATACCGGCGGGAATGCAAGTGTCTGCACATTTTTCCAACCTTTCAGCCTTTCTTGATCGACCACCAACGACCAATCTGGCACCTCCATTGTCAAGTCATATTTCTCCCCATCGTATATCTCAGCTAGTCGAGTTGGGCCTTGTATCACCTTCCACGAACCATCGCTCTCTATTCTGCAAGTCTGCCCATCAGCGTAAGTGACTTCCAACTGCAAAAGCAGAGCAGTATGGGGACCCCAAATGTTTCTATGCCCGCCCTCAAAACCAATACGGCCACTGAACCATCCCTCTGCAACTCTTACTCCAATGCAATTTGGACCGTTGACTAGGTGCGAAGTAACGTCATAAGTCTGGTACTGGAGTCGCCCATCATAAGAGGTCCACCCTGGAGCGAGGAAATAATCGCCGACGCGTTGCCCATTGAGCTCAGCTTCATAGACTCCTTGGGCTGTGATATAGAGTCGTGCTTTGACAGGCGTGTCGCGAAGAACAAATTGCCTACGGAACAAGTCTTCAGGGCCAGCGTCTGACATTTCTGAAGCCCACGGGGCGGCAATTCGTTCGCAGGCCCAATCTGACCTATGCAGTAGCCCTACTTCAAGATGAGCAGGCTCACTCCAGGGACTCTGTTCCTCCTGTTCATCCCAGACTCGAACACCAATTGATACATGATCACGAGACTGAAGAGGTTCTCTGAACGGCCATGGAATCAAGATATTTTCCTGGGACTGTTGGCTCGCAGTTGATATGTCGTGAACCTCTTGGCTGGGACTATACTTGGTCAACTCGATCTCGTGTCCATTTTGCTTGGCACCGGTGTTGTGCTGTGCAATCTTCCATGAGATTCGTGGCCTAGATTCTTGAACCCCAAGAGTATTTGGAGCGCGATAATGCTCGAAGTGAACATCAGTTACTGTCAACATGCTGGACAGCCTATGAAATTCTCTAAACAAATTGATGTTTTCCGCAGATGAAGCTTGCAAGTACAATCCGGCTCGCTATAGTTTATGCCGAAGAACAAATTCACGGATCAGAAGTAATACCTCGTTTTGGCCCCCCTTCGATATGCCGCCTTTCTTAATCTGCTCCCACTATCCAGCATCGTCGGGAAACCCATCGGAAAACCCCGCCTCCAATTGAAGTCACCGACCCTACCCAATGGCTGCCCACTGGTGCATGATCGGCTCAATCGGTACGCGGCTTCGCTTCTAAACGCGGACCTCCTCATTCCCTTCCGCACGCCATGTTAATTAACGTTAGTTCGCTGGTCTGTCTACCTTTTTAAATATTCCGACCTCATTTCCGACGTTGGATTTTTGTTTCACCGTTGCTTAGCTCCCTAGGGGGGAAAGGAATTGGGGACCTCGAACCAATTAATGACAAGATTTAGGCAGCTTAGTATAGATTTAGGATGAGTTTAGGGTGCCTTTTGTGGAATTTATTTTATTATCCTAAATTTAGGTTTTGTATTTTCTTGCTCCCTAAGGGTTCACGGCATGGTTCCGTCAACACCACAATGCCCTTACGTGTCCTATTCCCCATGGGGATGAGGAAAACCTGGGGAAGCATGCATCACCCTGCTAGGACATGGGATGCACTAGAGGTTCAGTTGAGGTGAACCTGCTCCCACACTAGCCCCCTCTATATCGAAGCCTCTCTAGATACACATGAAGAGTATTCGTACTAAGATTTTATCCGTGGAGAGAACCTTGACTGAGCCAGCGACTATAAAGTCACCGACTCAGAAGCATCTTTCTCGGCTGTTATAAGTTGATAGAACATCATCAGCTCACATCAGTCGCAATCAACACCATCAAGACATGACGATCTTCATAATCCCCCTTGTGGCATTGGGTGCTACTCTGTTGGCACCCATTGTTTCAGGACAATACTCTCCTCACTTTCCAGAACCCCCCAATCCAGAGCCCATTGAGGTTGTCGAGCTGCCCTTGCCTCCTGTCGTTTCAAGCAATGCTATAGGTGCTTGTACCGCCAAAATTAATCCCCGAGGCACTGGCTGCATCGGTGTAGATACCGGGGGAGAGCAGGACTTCCAGTCAGGAGATTTCACGCCCAATGGGAAGCACATCGTGGCCAATGTTGTTTTCATCGGCGCCCCAGCAGCTCCAGACCCAGCAAGTATTTATGATGGCGAGCAGTTGATCCTTATCACAACCGATGGCACCAACTTCTCCAACGGTGATTTATGGAAGTGTATCACTTGTGGTGTTCCGTCAAAGAATGCTCCCTGGCTTGATCCCCAGAGAGACTATCCTCACGTCTTTCGAAGCGGTGATAAGGCACTGTGGGGTCACAATATTGTCTCCTGTGGTGGAAAGCCGTTGGCTAGTGATGGCTGTACTCCGAACAACACTCACATCTATCCCATTCACTGGACAGTGACCGCTGATGGCACCGGAAAAGGTGGTTCTCCACGAGAGATGCGCCTTCATCCTGATGATGAGCACATGGGCTGGAGCTCCTTCACTAATACTGGAGGCCAGTATACGTACTTTGGCCGCCTGGAGTACAACGCCGACCCTAAAGTTGGAGAACCTCTTGTTCCTCGATATGATTTGGTTGATGTCAACATTCTGTTCGACAAAAATGGCAAACCTTCCATGTATGTCGAAGGCGAAAAGTTAATCATCAATCACGATGCTATCACGCCCGGTGAGCTGCGTGGTTTCAGTGGCTCGGGCGATGAGATACTCTACATCGGATCTCCCGTTGAAGCCAATAACATCGATGTAATGGCTGTCCATCTCACTACTGGAGCTATCCGACGCCTCACTAGTCATCCAGATTACACAGACCCAATCACCATGTCCCACGATAATCAATGGATTGTCGCTATGGACACTCGCGTTGTAGGTCGCCAGATGTTTATGTCTGGTATGAGATGGATCCCTCCCATCATCGACTACCTCGTTGTGGCCATCGCTTCGTCAACGCGCAATAACGGGCCACGGAGATTCTTCCAGCCGATCCTCATCAGTCATGATGGAGACAGCGGAAACTGTTTCGGTCAGCAGGTCAATGCGGACGGTGAGGGAAGTGATGGAAGTGCCAATGACCCAAACTGGAATGGCAGAGCTGATCCCGCCGTCTCTCCTGATAGCACCATGATTGCATATTGGCAAGCTCTTGTGGTTTCTCCCTCTTGCGGTGGTTCCAACCCTCTTCCATGTCCAGTTTCTACTGCCCAAGGAGGTCGCAATTACCGCGTCATGCTTGCTCGTCGTACCTCTCTGAAACCTTCAAAGCCAGCGCCGGTCTTTAAGGCACCCGATTTTATCCCTTGGGCGAAGCCTTTCCCCGCTGGCAGTACAACACCTAAGCAGTATGAGATCCCAGCCGGCAACTATACACTAGAGGGTCAACTGTCGGGCGTCGCCGAGGTTGCTTTCATCGAAGACCCCGACACTGGTGCCATTCAAACCATCTCGGCTTCTTATAGTAACTACTCAGATCATGAAGGCTACATCATCGACGGGTATGAGAAGGTCTCTAAATGGAAGTTGCTTCCCAACGTTTGGAAAGACAGAGTGGAGTGGTTCTCCAACATCACGTAAACTGGAGTAGTGGAAGGCACTAAGATCACAAGCAAAGACGGGTTTGAACTAGAGATTGATGTCTCAAATAACATCATGGAGACGAACGGAACCTTGACAACTGTCCTTGATGGAATCAAGTACGTGCAACCTGCTGCTGGAACCTAGGTCAAGTGGAGTTGTATCTTCAACCCAGATAATGAATAAGCCATAGTTTAAGTACGTAGGATTAAATATCCAAGAGATCCCTCAGTGGGTCAAAGTCATCCAGCGCCCGATGCCCATATGTCCAAATTGCATCCCTGTCTTTGATGTCCTGCGTGAAACCCAACAAGAATCGAAGCATCCAGGTATCTAAACGGAATGAGTCATCTTTGCTTCGAAGGCAGGCGTTGTGGAAATGCTGAAGCCGGTTGATCGACATATGGTTCATGGGCCAATAGTTATTCATTGACGAAATCATCTCAAAATTTCTTTCTAACCGTGTTTTAGCAGCGAGTATCTCGTCATTGTCGATCCCAAAGAGAAGTGTATGGATCTGAACCGTAGAGGCGAGGCAAAGAATATGCCCAGCAAGTGGATACAGAACGACAGTGTCTGACCGTTGCTTCGCTTCATAGATGAGGTCGCACAGGTTTGTTGCATGCTGTTTACATCGCTCCGCAAACCCTTGGGTACCATGATCCCATTGGTCCTGTTCTTGGGCAGATTGGAGGTGTTGGTAGAATAAGAGCTGACCGGCGTGGTTATAGTTGATATGCAGTGTTATGAAGATTGCACCAAAGCCCTCATCAGCCCAGTATATCACATTTTCCTGAGAAGAGCGAAGTCTCGGGGGTAGGTTACTTGCCCATTCATCAAGGCAGTGGCGAAGTGGATGATCGAATTCTCTGTCTACTGGTTGTTCGTCCTGCGTATCCACTACCTGACAGTTTAGAAAGACAATAATATCGTAAAATAAAAGATTCAGCCGGATCATCTGGGCGACCAAAGATTGAGGATCGAAGTTGCAAGTAGGTGACGCGTCAAGCGACTGGTCAGACGGTGTCACAGACGTCTCATGTGTCAACGAGGCAAATCGACGTTCATCCATGGGCAACGGGATGGCGTTTCGTGGTCTTATGTACCTGGGGAGAGACTGAGTTGCGCTTGACCATGTCTCGGTTGTAATGAGAGACCACCATACTATATAACAGAGTAAGTACCGCACTCTCGGTTCAGACTCAGATCAAGTTACCTCGTCTATTGACTTCCTGCTCCAGAAGTGACTCAGTTGACAGATTTGGAAGGTCTAGCAGCATGGCCATGCGAGAGGCTACTGCTTGATATACTGACTCAGTCCTAGAATCTCCCTCAACGGACGAATTTGCCGCAAGCAACATGCAAGCTTGGATACTGATTAACGAAGTATCCTCCAGGTCGAGCAACCTCTTGCATTCGTCCCGATACGGCCGTCCTCTATCCCATGGTGGAATAGACGCAAAAACGGGATGCGTCGAGTACCGCGCCGACAGGCCTGCAACACCAAAGAATAGAATCTTTGGGATTGAAGACTCCTTTACATGGGCTATGAATGTTGCGCGATGGAAGATGTTGTGAAACGTGATGTGCATGTACCGAAAATAGAGACTCGCCAGCTCCTCGGCCAGAACGGCGTCTGGTACAACCAGCGACGAGATACGACGAGGTCTGCTATAGTCTTTCTGATTTCCAAGTGGCTCGTAATGTGTTTCCAAATTATTGGGGACAGGGTCATCGGTGACTCCAACACAGTCAAGGCCCCTCTTGATACAGGAATTGCAACTGAGACCTGGTCGAGACCGATCGCACTTTTTCCGCCGATCACTAGAGGGGCTGATGTCAGATTAGATTCATAGGCAAACGGTGAGTAATACATACCGGCATGCTACACACGCTGATAATGGTCTCATTGAGATAACATCAATCAGTTATTTGCTGTGGTTTAAGAGACGAGGACTTGCCCCAGTGCACTTTCATCTCATCCTGGGTCTAGCCCCATAATATTATGCACGAGCCAAAGACTCGGTTTCCACTATAATCCGACGAGTTTTCCGACGGACACTTGGAGAAAATGATGCGCTAGCAGCTTGATGTGGGGTGCTACCCTTGCCATCTCAAAAATCCGCTTGGTTCTCCGACGGGGACTCTGCCTACCCTAAGGCGTGAACATTTGATCAAGACAGCACAATAGATGTACCCTAGCCAAAGGGGGGTATGCTCTAATGCGCTTGGTTAATAGAGGCCATTATTCTTCTACTGGACTCTCTGGCACATGGCTTATAAACGTACCTGACATGACAGACCAAGCCTTTTGGCTTACTCCTGCTGAAGAATACCCCCAGTCAACTTCCTTTTATTTCCCAGTCTGCTCACCTTCTTTCATATCACCCAATTGCCATGTCTAAAGAGGCTTCTATGTTCCAGGCTGGTGACTTGGTCAGTAGTTCTGGTACGACCGACGATTTGACCGTTCAAGAGCTCCCACTACCCAAAGACTTCCGCTGGGGTACAGCCACTGCAGCATACCAAGTCGAAGGTGGCGCAAACCAAGACGGCAAAGGCCAATCCATCTGGGACACGTACACACATCTCGAGTCCCCGCGAATAAACAACGGGGAAACCGGTGATATAGCATGCGATCACTACAATCGAGTCCCCGAGGACATTGAGCTTATGAAGTCGTGTGGCTTCGACGTTTATCGCTTCTCTCTATCTTGGACACGAATCATTCCACTTGGAGGCCGAGACGATCCTATCAATGAGAAGGGCATAGCTTTCTACAGCGATCTCATCGACCAGCTGTTGGCCAACGGTATCGAGCCTGTAGTGACGCTGTATGATTGGGATGCTCCGCAGACTCTCTACGATCGTTACAGGGCTTTCCTCAATACCGAGGAGTTCACTGCCGACTTTTCCAACTATGCACGATTATGCTTTGGTCGCTTCGGTGATCGTGTTAAGAAATGGATCACATTCAATGAGCCATACATCATCTCCATCTTTGGTCATGTCAACGGAACACTTGCGCCAGGCCATCGTGCAGAAGACGGTTTCGATACAAAGCACGAACCATGGCGCGTCGGCCATACGCTGATTGTTTCGCATGCTGTTGCAGTTCAGCTCTATGTGAAGACGTTCCAGCCTTTGCAAAAGGGTGAGATCTCCATCGTGCTGAACAGCCATTTCTACGAGCCATACTCCGACTCGGAAGCCGATGTTGATGCTGCGCAACGAAGACTTGAGTTCTACGTTGGGTGGTTTGGCGATCCCATCTTCCTCGGAGAAGATTACCCCGTTTCCATGCGAAAGTATCTGGGCGACAGGCTTCCCCATTTCAGCACTAAAGAGCGTAAACTTCTTTGCGAGACAGCTGCTCTCAATACATTCTACGGCATGAACCACTACTCAACTAAGTTCGCCCGTGCTCCCCCTGATCCTCCCACCGAAGACGACTGGACAGGCAATATCGAGGAGGGAGCCGTCAACAGCGCAGGCCACGAAATAGGTCCAGTCTCACAGTTTCAGTGGCTCCGTGTCGCACCAAATGGCTTCCGTAAGCTATTGAACTGGGTTTGGGAGCGATATCATCTACCTATCATCGTCACAGAGAACGGATGTCCATGTCCTGGAGAGCAAGATCTGAAGGTTGCAATTGACGACAAGTTTCGCGAGAGATACTTCGGTCTATATCTCGATGCCATATCGCGAGCTATATACGACGACAGTGTTCCCGTTAAGGGCTACTACGTGTGGACGCTCATGGATAACTTTGGTAAGCATCTACCTTTTAAGCTACTTGTACAATACACTCACATGCCTTCTTAGAATGGTCGGCTGGATATCAGCCAAAGTTCGGTATTGTTCATGTTGACTTCGAAAACGGCTTGACGCGCACCCCAAAGAACTCGGCAAGGTACCTACGTGAGACTTTCCAGAGAAGGAGACAGGGCTATAAGAATTGAGATCGATGTATTTGCATATAGACTCCTTTGCAGTGAAATAGAGTAGAAGTATAAAGGCTATTACCCTGTCCGAGACCTAGCAACATGACCCAACTTGTGGGTGACATATCAGTGAATTGTATTAAGGCATATGCTGCATCGTGAATGCCAGACAGATACCGAGGTGTTTACTAACTGCCACCACAATTGCGGCTGAAGCCAAACGTGATGCCGCAACATTCGATGATCCACACCCTCGGGTTCGGGGCAGCATGTTGACGATTCGAGACCTCATGCCTTGCCGGATCAACCATTCTTGGAGTTCCAAGTGACATACTCGTCGCTGTATTCTACCCCGAGGCCCATGAGGAAAACCTGTCGGAATTCAATTCAGTCTAGACTTTTCATCGAGAGATGATAAGTTGGATCGCGTGATGTCCTGATTTAGCCTCTATTCCCGGGCCATCGACGCAATTCTAAAATACCTAGCCAATCGCTTGATGCAGAAGAGTCGAAATGGGAACACCATGGATTTAAACAAGACGTCGGAAAACTCGCCAGGCATGCATCTGATGGAAACTGTCCAATCAGAACCCCGGACTATGTACCCCAGGCCACCAGACTGCGGGGTATGACTGCGCTAAGCATTGGGTACGCGGTTTCTCGCTTGTTAGTCGCGTTGACCCCATGGGGGAGCGAGGATCCAATCTCGGGGTACGTATTGTAGGTGCGTAGCAATGGATTCCTATATGAGATGGTGATTGCCTCGAGTACGGCGATCAAATCCATTCCGGATCAAAACAATTGTCTGTTTCCTCTTATCTCTTTGGTCTACGGCAGTGATCCGACACCATCATGGCTCTTCCCAGCGACTCTAAAACGCCTATTGACAATCCTACCCGGGTTGATTCTCACGACCATGCCGAAACTGCACTCAAACACGACGATATTGCCGCTGAGGCTGTTGCACAGGGCCAGGCACTCTCAGGCTACGAGCATTTGACATTCTGGGAGACTGTCCGAACCTTCAAGATGGCCTCACTCGTCTGTCTGCTCGCGGCCTTCAGTGCTGGAGCTGATGGCTACCAAATTGCGTAAGTAGTAAACCTGCCCGCTTCTCTGTCACTGCCTAACGTGGACTTAGTATGCAAGCGAGCATTATTGCAAACAAGGGCTTTGTCCAACAGTTCGTCACGGCAGTCAACGAAGAGGGCGAGAAGTTCCTCGCCTCCAATATCATCGCTACTTGGAGTGCTGGCCAAAACGTAGGCCAGGTCCTCGGTCAGATCGGTATCTCCTTTGTAGTCGCACGGTTCGGTCGCAAGATTTCCATGTATACTCTCTGGACTATCCTCATGAGCAGTGTCTTGGCTGAGTCACTTGCCCGCACCTGGCCAGTCTGGTTTGGTGCCAAGATGCTTGCTGGTACTGGTGTAGGATGCCTCCAGGCTACCCTGCTAGGTTACATTACAGAAGTCAGCCCAACTAGAGTCCGTGGCGGTATGTTAATGCTTTACAGCTTCTGGTGGACTCTGGGTTCATTCTGTACTCATGTGGCCCTCCAGAGGCTAAACAAGACAGATCCCTTCAACTGGCAAACACCGGTGTATACTCAGTGGGGACACATCGGAGTCATGGCAATCATCTACGTCTTGCTCCCTGAATCTCCTTCCTGGTGTGTTACTGTCGGACAGGAAGAGAGGGCCAAGAAAAGCATCAGATTCATCTAACGAGGAGTTGAGAACTTTGATGTCGATCGTCACTACGAACTTCTCGCCTTGAACGTCGAACATGAAAGGGCTTTAGCGGCCGAGCAACGAAACGAAAACTGGCTGGCAAACTTCAAGGGTACTGACGGCCGCCGTACCATTACTGCCATGTGGACAATTGTTGCGCAGCAGTTCTTGGGTCTTGCCCTCTTTGGCAGCTTCGGTACATACTTCTTCCAACAGGCTGGCCTCGCCGACCCCTTCCAGATCAAGGCCATAACTACGTCTCTACAAATAATCGTCGTTATCTTGGCTGTTTTCGGTGTCGATAAATTTGGTCGTCGTCGTATGGCCTGCTGCGCTACTTCCTTGATGTGGATTTCTTGTTTGATCGTTGGTATTATCGGAGTTGCTCCCCAAAGTGGTGCAAGCACCTATGTGTTTGTGTTGTTTGCGTGCTTCTGGAGTGAGTTATTGATACTATGTAGCCATCAATCATATCGAGCTAACTTGTGCTTTTCTAGATATCGGAATCTCGGCCAACGGAGCTGCCGGCTGGGGCTATATCGGCGAAATATCCTCGCAGCGACTGCGGCCATATACTCCGGCTTCGCAGCCTCTGCCAACTCTGTCACTGGTCTTATAATGTCAGTTCTAACACCGTACATGGTCAATGCCAATAAGTGGGATTGGAAGCTCAAAACTGGCTTCTTCTATGCTGGCGTTGGTCTCCCTTGGGTCATCGGCACGTGGCTGTTGGTTCCCGAGACTGCTCGGTAAGTCACGTTCAAATACCTTAAAGCTAGGCCCAAAACTAATTTCTTTCTAGACGATCACCTGCGGAGCTTGACGAACTGTTTGAGCGTAAGATCAAGGCTTGGAGATTCCATACGACTGAGACTGCTACACAGCGACTGATGCAGAGTGAGAAAGCGGAAGCTGCAGAGAAATGATAGGCATTGGCGACAGACTTTCTGCCGGCAGTGCATTCCCACCGTAACTGGTAGACAGTTATAGACATCCAGATCCGTTTCTGCTTCTATTCAAGTCATAGTAAAGTTGATAGTAGGGCAAAGGACTTGGGTAAACTTCGGTAACAGGGCCGTGCTTATGGGCTGTAGCATGACGATAAGTCAACCAATAACAGAAGGCTATCGTGCATAAGTTGTCAGATTATTGATAAAACCCCTCACCCTGTTTCTTAAAATAATTTCCAAAGTGTCTTGTTTATCTCCTCCCTTAGCGCTCAACCATGCGAACCACCAGAGCCTCATCAACAGAGAAAGTCAAAAGGTGGTTCCGAAAACGCTCACGGTCTGGGAACTCCAGTTCAGTAGACAGCAAAGGCCTTTCGGGCACAGGTAGCTCTCTTGAGGCTCCAGGGTCCGAGGATACTAGCTCTTTAGCTGACACGGATTCTTTTGTTTCCGATGGGTCGTACGCTAACACGGCGCCTACCATCAGTCCCAACAGAGCAACTGACTCGGCTGAAACCATAGTCAGTGAGGCGATACATGATGACTCAACTGGTTTAAAAGAAACTAGCTTGGCCAAGAACGAAGTGAATCCATGGAAACAGGCTGCGGATTATCTTAACGATGATGATCGAGAGATCCTTGAACGAATCAATGCACATGATGACAGCGACACAACATTTGCAGATCTGCGAGACTCCATTACCAAGAAGCAGAAGATATCACAGGAGAAATCATGGAAGGTCACATTCGGTGGCCGTAGGATCGTACTCCGAGATGTCCTAGCCAAGATGGTGACTTGGTTGGATTCGTTCAAAGCGATCGGAGATTTAGTCTCGCAAGCCGATCCGGTGCATGCTGGTTTACCATGGTTAGCGATCAAGATCGTACTCTCTGTTCTGACGACAGACCAGGAACAGATGGGACTGATCGTCATTGGCATGGAGCAGGTGGTATGTCTCATCGCAAGATGCAGAATCTACCATCAACTCTACTTAGAGGATGTGGTACAAACGTCGAAAGTGCAGCATCAGGCCATCAGTCGTCTATCTAATGCCATGGCTCGACTTTATGCAAAGATGACTTCCTTTCTCGCATATTACATTCGATTATTGGATCTCAACGGTGCTACAAGAACATTAAAAGCCTTTTGTCAACCAGGTGAGGTATCCGAGAAACTCAAGGAGATTGGAGCCTTGGAGACCCGAGTCACGACTGAAGCCAACATCTGCCAGGGCGCTATTGGTATTTCAGCCTTCCAAAAGATCGATGAAAACTCAAAGGTTGCCAGACAGCAACTTAGAGAAATGGCTACAAGTTTTGATGGGGAAATGATGCGGCTCTGGAAGCATCTGAATGAAGATGAACGATGCAAGATTATCCAATGGGTCTCGGATATTCCTTACGAGAGCGACCATTACATCGCCAGCAAGGGGAGGGTGGATGGCACCGGAGAATGGCTCCTCTCTCACGAGGTTTACGCAACATGGCGACAGTCTGATACATCTACTCTACTGTGGCTCAATGGGATTCGTAAGTTGGCCATAATAATAACTTGTTAACTGAGTCCTAACATTTGCAAGCGGGGGCCGGGAAGACGAAGCTATCATCCCGGGTTATCGATGATCTTTTGACGACATTGCCGACCGAGACTGAGAAGAATACAGGTTTTGCATATTTCTATTGTGATCGCAACCGGGCTGACCATAACGAGCCCGTTGCTATCATGCGAAGCATTGTGCGGCAATTATGTGCTCCTCGAGGCGATCATAGTATCGAATCGTGCATCGAGGAACAGTACCTCAAGAGGAAGGTAAAGGGCTTTTCTAGCGACAGGCTTGTTGCGGAAGAATGCAAAAAATTGCTTCTCCAACTTGCTGCTGGATATAGCAGTATTTACATCGTGGTAGATGGCCTGGACGAATGCGACCGGGGTACAAGACATATCCTCATGGACCTCCTCGATGAAATGATGGCCAAGTTCGAACAGTCCATTAAAATCTATATCGCGAGTCGTACGGATCAGGACTTGAGAAAACGCTACCACAAGGGAACCCATCTCGAGGTAACTGCCAACGATAACCAAGCGGATATCGAGAAGTTCGTTTTGAACAAGATGGACCAGAGTGAGTTCTGTCGCAACAGATTATCTCAAAAGCTTCGAAACAAGATCCTGCGCACGTTCCAAGATAAGAGCCAAGGCATGTTTCAGTGGGCAACACTTCACATCGGAGAGTTGCTGCAACTAGAGAGAAACGCCGATATAGCGGAGTATCTTGATGGCTTACCAAGAGGTCTCGAGGCTGCGTACGATAAGATTTATGCTCAGATTGTAAATCAGATCGGCAGTAAAAGAAATGTTGCCTTTGCAGCTTTCCAGATTGTCATGGTATCATGCAGACCCCTGCATCCCCTCGAGCTTGCTATCGCCGTTGCTCAACATCCCTCCCAGAGGTTTATCCTGGATCGAGACGTTGATGTTGGGTATGTGCTCGATGTCTGCCAGAATCTACTGGTCGTTACAGATGGATCTCAGGAAAGAGCTGTTCCTGTAGACCCAGTAACATGGCCTGAACTCGATGGATATCTCGCCAAAGAGGTTAAAGCTATTCGTCCATCTGTCTCAACAGGGACATGGGAAAATGACTTTGGCCTTACGAGAGATTCAATCTGTAGATTTGCACATCTTTCAGTTCAAGAATATCTGGAAACAAAGCACTGGAGCTCCATCGAGGCTCATAGCTTTATGGCTGGAATCTGTCTTAGAACACTGCTTTGTCTCACCTTACCGGACGAGATTGAAGAGGAACAGGAAGACATTCATGAAAGAGATGATGAGGAAAGTTGGAATGACCTTGTCATTCTTCACGTGTCGCAGTTCGAGGAGAGGAAGGTTGTCGAGATAATACCTCCTGAAGAGGAGGACCACCAAACAATGCTAGATACGTCCCTATCAACGACAGCCGACACCGAAGTCATTGAGGAGGTTTCTGCAAATGAAATGAAGGCCACAGGACCCCGATTCGAGCCTCCGCCTTTCAAGTGCTACCTGGACTGGACAGAACCGCACAGCCATGACGATAATCAATCGTGCTATTCCCAGACATTTGAGCCATTCTTAGAGAGCTATGAAGGATCACCACTAGAGACGTGGGCCCTATACTGTGCAGCTTCCATTTCACAACATCTGGCTATTGTTAGTGGCCATTCCCGACAAGCTTTCACTTGCACTATCAAGTCCTTGGTGGAAAAGTTTCTTGGTACACCTTCTAACTCAGCCTCATCATATAGAGCATGGGCTCGTCTCGCTCAAAATTCATTGTCCCAGGGCAAATACAGCAGCAATGATCGCATAAGGGCTACGTATAATCTGTCAAATTACGACAACCCAAAAGCAGTTATTCGACCACACACTAAGCCAGCATTTGGCTGTGCTATACTTGGCCTTGATGAAGTACTAGATAGTTGGCTTAGTGATGGGCAGCTGGACCCCAACGAATGCAATGTTCAGGGCGATAGTTTGCTTCACCTCGCAGCTCTGTTTGGCCATACAGACACTTGCAGAATCCTCCTTAAACACGGGGCTGATCCAAATCTGCCCACACTATCGATTCTTACACCTCTTGGCCTAGCGATAGGTCACGAAGAGGTTGACTTAGTACGTCTCTTGGCGGAAAATGGGGCGGATCTTAATGCCACTATTACACCCGTGGGTAAACGGCCACAAGATTGGAGAGGCTCGAGAGCTCCGCCCTTTTACGTCCCAATTCTCGAGACAGTCATGACTGGCAAAGCAGATATAGTCAAAGCCATAGTCGATGCCGCCAAGTCGACATCTTATACCGGCCAGCCTCTCCACCTCGATGGGGCCCTCAAAGAAGCAGCAAGAGAATGCAGAGCGGATCTGGCGGCCCTTCTGCTCTCGTACGGCAACAATCAGGACTGGGACCGCTAGGTCATGATTCATAACGCGCTCGAGCTTGTGCCGGAAACCGAGCCTGGAATAGAGGTCATGAAGTTCCTCATGGGACGTATGAAAGGTCGAGCTCATGAATCTTTGCTTCATTCAGCTGTCACGGGCGGCAATTGGGCTTTTGCCGAGGCACTAATCTCCATGGGAGTAGATGTTAATACTCCAAGAGAAGGTCTATATCGAGAGACACCCCTCCATTCTGTCTTCCGGGAATGGTGCGGCGACGAATTGGTAAAGGCCAAGAGGCTTATTGGATGGGGAGCTGACGTTAATGCCCGAGATGTTCGCGGAAACACACCACTTGCGCTAGCCATGATGACGCGAATCTTTGGCTCCGCGATAAGTGATGGTGATGAAAGCGGAAGCCAAAACGAAGGCGAGAATGACAATGCAACTACGGAGAAGCCCGATACAGATAAGTCACGCCTGGAGGCTATTGAGTATTTGCTACAGCACGGTGCTCATACCAATATGAAGAACAGAGATGGGATGACCTTGCTTGGTATTGCGTGCGTTCATGCAATGGTCACGCCTGAGGTCTTTGAGATGCTCCTCCAGCACAGCGCAGATGTTAACGCGATACAAGGCAACAGTCGAGTCAAGATGAGTCCCCTGGACATTCTCCACTTGCATGACACACCGGGATCCACGGAGGAAAAGTCTGATAATGGAGGGTTGGCAAGGGTTAGAGGAATGGGATATAGAAAAGCGTACTTCTTGGGCACGTGATAATGGGATTGGAGCATTTGCTGTTCCAGCTGTCAATTTCTCTTTTTCGGGACGTCAGTAGAGGCTACAAAGTAGAGATTCTATGTAACTAAGGCTGGTAAGTACAGTTTGAGGGAGATTAAGACCACGGAAGCATTGGAGAAATAGTAGGTCTTAGGACAAATAAAACAAGAATTACAGAGACCACGACTGGAAAAGGTAGACAAGGTCAATGTTTAGGAATTAGCCAACGCGACTTTAACCTTTGAGTTCACTCTCGCAGCAATGAAGATGTCTAGCAAATCGATCGGCTATACGGCTCAACAAATGCACTCAATGGCTGATTCTTGGAGTAGATAACCCCGCATAGTGCGCATGATGGTGCCAGTTCAAGATAAGCACTTTACCAATTGGAGGACTTGAGTGGATAATCATCTGGGGTATTAACTTGATTTGAGTTTCGACCTGGGATAAGTATATATCCTCTGCCAGAAAATAGAGGATTTGTAAATCTGGATCGTGCCGTATTAACCGGGAACACGCGGCATTTACCACAACGGCAATAACGGCATAATGGGGTCCATGTTCGTATCCCCAAAAATTGCCAATTGCGGGGTAGAGAGTCAGATTTAGTTCTTTGGGGTTTGCCTGGGGTCTCCGCGGACCTGGGGTAATGTTCTTATATACAGATGTAGCCCTGCGCTGTATTCTTCCCTCAGTGTCGGCTGCACATTCTTCTAGCATCGATCCCCAAGACTGTCTTCTACTAAGTTATCATGTCTTACTTTGGTCTCCGGGGTACACCTCTCAGCACCCTACTGAGCATAGTAGCAGCGACAGCCTTTGCTCTCCAGGGCTATGATCAAGCCGTCATGAACGGTCTGTTGACCTTGAATACCTTCAAGCACCAGTTCCCAGAGATCAAGAACTCAAACATCGAAGGTGAGCTCGCTTTGACTTTACTACCTTCTACTCCTACGGCTCCTGACCGGCTTAGGCACGGCCGTGGCTATTTATGAAGTTGGCTGCGCAATCGGAGCCCTGTCTTGTGCCTTTCTCGGTGATATTCTCGGCCGCCGTCGAACAATCTTCATTGCAGGCTGCATCGTGATTATTGGTGTCGCGATACAGAGCAGCTCATTCTCACTTGGACAGCTCATCGCTTCTAGAGTCATCACAGGTCTTGGTGTCGGTGCACTGACCGCTACGATCCCCATGTGGGTGTCTGAGTGCTCTAGTGCCAAAGAACGTGGTCGCCGTGTTCTGCTACAAGGGTTCTTCGCCATCGGCGGAATTGTAGTTGCGTCATGGATGGAGTTTGGCCTCTATTTCATCAAAGATAACCAAGTCAACTTTCGCTTCCCTATCGCATTCCAAGGCTTATTCGCCATCATCATCACCTCATTCGTCATGTTTCTACCCGAGTCCCCTCGCTGGCTTATCAAGCAAGATCGCTTCGAGGACGCTGTTCTTGTCATGGCTGCCCTCGAGGACCTCCCCGATGACTCAGAGGTCATCCGAGAGGAGCTTTCCCTTATCCGCGACGCCTACATCGAGGAACAGAACCAGAAGGTATCTGTCTTCACCATGGGCCCCGAGCGCCAGTTTCATCGCGCAGTCCTCGCTGTTGGCCTCGCCATCCTGGCTCAAATGTCTGGAATAAACATTGTGACCTTTTATTCCACAACCATCTTCCAGCAACAGCTCAACTACTCACCAACAGAGTCTCGCATATTCTCCGCAAGCTTGCAGGTCTGGCAGTTCATCGCTGCCGGCTTTGCTCTTGTGCTCATTGACAGGTTCGGCCGCCGCAAGCTGCTCATGGCTGGTGCTCTGGGCATGTGTGTTGCTCAGACCTCACTAGCGGGTCTCATGTCTGACCTGACTAACAAGTCCGCGAGTGAAGCTGCCATCTTCTTTTACTTTGTGGCCATGTTCTTCTTCCCCGTCGGCCTCTTTCTTCTCCCTTTTATGTATGCTGCCGAAATAGCACCCCTAAGCATCCGTGCCCAGATTACTGCCATTAGTGCCTGCGCCAACTGGCTGTTCAACTTTCTTGTCGCTGAAGTTTCCCCTCATGCCTTGAAGAACATTGGATACAGGTACTACATTGTATATGCCTGTATTACACTGTTCACCTTTATCGTTATTTTGCTCTTCTATCCAGAAACTAAGGGCCGTACTTTGGAGGAGATTGATGACATTTTTATCCAGTCAAAGAGCATTTGGGACCCAGTCAAAACTGAAAGGAATATGCCCAGAAATGCAGTGGCATTGGCTGAACGGATCCGAAATGCACATGATGAGGAGAAACACAACGCATGTCATGCCGAGAATATTTAAGTTAGCTAAGAAATAAACTCTTGTCTCCTAATTGTCCGACATTATGCCTCTGAGCGCCACTCATAACCCGGTGGGTACAGTCCATCCTCAGGCCCAGCACCTCCAGGGCGTCCCTGGGTAACTTGATGCGCTCCCTTATATCCATAGTACTTGGACAACTTAGCCTTATCCAAGAAATGGTCTGCCTTCCCAACCCCCAGAGCGACCTTAAGCGACGGAATCCGACCAAGGTCAACACGCTGGCCAAGTGAAGTGACACGCCAGTGCAAGTTGTGTTTGAGAAACTCAACGACGTCCTCGGGATTCATGCTCTGAAGAACTTTCGGTGCGTTTGGATCATCAGGAGTATGTGGGATCCTGTTCTTCCAGCGCGTGATCAAGGCGTTTGTCAAAACGACACGACCGGTGGACTTGGTGTGGTCTGCTGCCTGTAAACGGCAATTTCCGCAACCCGAGGCTGTTCCCTCAAGCTCTTTAGGGCTGGAGAAATTCACGATCTCACCAACAGGCGGGTCTTCGCCAGTAAAGAGGTAGGGAGCTTCGCCAGGCTTTCCAACAAAAATGTGGATAGAAAAGGGAATGCCATCTAAGGCGAACCTAGAAAGAGTTAGTTAGTCCTTTGTAAACAGATAATAAGTATACTTACTTCTCATAGATCACGTCCACGACATAGTCAGGAACACCTAGCTGGTCTTCCGCTGGAACATCATCCCGAGTAATGGCATTTAGCCGAAGTCCTGGCTGACCTGGAGAAGCGGTAAGTTTTGCTTTCTGGACAGCTCGTCTCCCTGAGCCGTAAGCGTTGTTGAGAAGAATGTTGAGATCCTTCACATGTCTCTCCTTGTTGTATGTGCCATCCAGATCCGTGTAGTTCCACTTCTCAAGGCCAGGATAAGTATATCCTAGCGGAGTCACTTCCCTTATGTCGTTAGAGGTATAGTAATCCTCATCCCCCGTAGATTTGAGAAAAGGCTTGAGAGGAGAGTCAGGCTTGTCAATTTGCTGACGGGGGATTGCAAAGTTTCCCTCATCTTTGTCGCGAGGATCTCTTCCATCAAACCAGGTATTCTCTTTCTCGCCATCATGAAGGATTTGCCACATGGCGAATAAGCGATCAATGTTGCAGTGATGCAGCCAGAATATGGGATCAAAAGCAGCAACAGCTGGATTACTCATCTGCCCGTTCAGAAATGTGTTGTCATTTCCTACCCGGATCGCACCACCACCGCACCAGCCATGCAACGAGTCGTGTAAGCCCTCTGCTGAGTCATTCGGTAGTGGCTGATCGCCCGTGATAGTACGCTTGGTCGCAAAATCTTCGAAGCTGTTGATAGTAAAGAGGCGGTAGAAGGCTTCCCTCAAACTGGCTGTAACGTTGCCTCGTCGAGGGTTGTCTTTATCTGTATCACTGGGAACGGTAGTCTGGTCATTTAGGATCTTTGTAATAGCCTTGTTGTTCTGTTGGCCTTGTGGCGTTGCCCATGTCTTTGCGGTGGCATCGCCTGGGGTCAGATGGCGGCTTGTTGCCTGACAAAGATTGTACTAAAAGAGGCGATGAGTATTTCTCAAGCAATAAGAGAAACTGAAACTTACAACAACCTTGAACGTCTCATTCCCCATAGCATGAACGCTCAGGTCCTTCAGAGGATCCTTATCCTTTGAATCGAGCTTTTCGTCTCCCATGGTCATGCCTTCAGGCATTTGAAAATGATGGAAGGCATTGCGGATCTTAGTGGTCATCTGGGGAGGGGGCACACGAATCTCAACTTCTTCTTGTTTGAGAACTAGCGGGATATCATAAGTGAGATCATTCTCGTTGTCAGGGTTTCGCGGCTTCTTCATAGCCCAATCCCAGTATGGGAATCGCCAAGACGCGAGAGCCTCGTGAAGAGCGGGCTGATCGCTAGGGGGGAACTTTTCAATTTCTTCCTTCATCAAGTCGTAAATTGCTTGCTGGAGGATAACATTAGCGTATCAACGTCGCGATTAGGCAAGAAAGTTCCTACCTCCCAGAGAAGCATATATGGGCGATGCCAAGTGGTGAAGAGGATGCTACCATGAGTACAGTACCCTCTACCAGGGGTTTCACCCTCGGTAGGAGGCTCAATGGGCCAGGCGACATATGGCTGTCCATGGATACCTAGGTTTCTTTGTGTGAGGAACCGAGAAGTTGCAAAACGAACTTAGGACAACATACCAGCAATTTGGTAATAAGACAGGGGATCATGTGGGTTCTTATCAGAGAATTTGAGAAAGGCTGGAAAGAACAAGGCTTGCTGGTTCAGATGGATTGGGTCGGTTGAAGTGAACCAATCATCGATCTCCATGCGAACAGGCACTTCACGAAGAGGGTTAGACGCATTGGGATCAAGCCCTTCCTGAATACCCGTAATGGGATAGTTCGTGTTGGATGAGCCCATTGTGCAATAGATCAGAAAATAAAGAGTAGAAAATGCTTTTGATGCCTGATTGTCAAGCTGTTATTGCGAGGAGAAGACAAGCTTATATATCTAAAGTTAAAGCCAAGCAATTGGCAGGCTGCTGAGTCGTTAGTTATTATGAATCTCTGCTCTTGCTAATGAATTCACATTCTCTCGCAGTACCAGTTGTGGCTGCTGACATTTACTGCGGGCGATATGATCTAGAACTCACTTTAAAAAACACTTCTTAACCCGGCTCCGATTTTCAGCTACGCCTTTTGCCAATGTTTCAGAGGATATCCAGTTATGAGTCTTGACTAGCGCTGAGGCTGAGACAAAGGCCCTGCCAAATCGAATGAAAACATGGGGACGTGGTCAGCTGAACTCGCTGCCAAGATAATTTAAACCGCCACACCTTGACTTTACCACCAGTCCTGGTTAGATTCGCAAACGTGTCATATCTCGAGTTCAGATTTGGGACAATGCAGAAGGGGGGGTAGGACTAGAGTTATGCTTATCACATACATGTTAGCATCTAATTTCAGTGTTGACCGCTTAAATTATTGAAAGTGGCTGAGCTGAAATGCCCCGGAAGGGTAAGATGTCATCCTAACCCTACAGCGGCGCTAATCTCAAGAAGTGTCAAGACAGGCGAATCAGCAGATAGAGACAGAAAGGTCGAGAGAATTTTGCCTGTAACTGTAGCTGCCTTTCGTAACTGTATCAGTTCTAAATCTTATATTTATCCCTACTCTGAAATGTGAATTTTAGCTATTTCAAGCATTGGCTATATTACGCAAACCGTAAATTAGTCGCAATGCGTATTCTGGCTCATCTGTGACTTGACCCAGTTATTAGGCTGCCATTACGCTTTCCGTAATCTTCACTAACTCAATGCAAGTAAATGTCATCTGTACAATAATGATGAACTGCTAATTGCCTCCTTAAAATGGTCAGACTCAAGTCTTCTGCACTCAAACACTATGCTGTAAACTTCACAGATCACGCAAGCCGACCTGCTAAAATGACATGGAACAACCAACCGAGAAACATCTTAATTCCACTATCAAGCATGTGCTTCTATTTTGTCCATCCGCGCTTCTCTCTAGATGATCTCGACATGAAACAATTCTTAAGACATATTCGGGATGGGTTTGGTGATCCCCTTCGACTTGAAATATTCTACGTCCCAGGAGCTAGTTACGCGACTGTGCCCAGCATTACCGAGACGAACTGAAGCTCGGGGCGTTGTATTCCAGCAAGTTCAGCAGGTGTAAGAGGTTTATAGAAATTGGGAGGATAAGGAAAGAGACGCTCAATACGCAGCTGAACGAGAGCCCCATGGAAAGCTTCCTGGCCTTGTATCATCACAAAAGGGCCCACTTGTTGCTTACCACGGTGTCATATTTGTGTACACGGGTACTACGTGGAAACATGAAGACGAGGAGCAATCATTTGATGTTGTTGAATTCGATCCAGCATTGACACCGGTTGACTATGGCCCTGGTGAACTGGAAATCATGGGACCCCAGCCCCTCTTCAAAACAACACGCATGTCGGCCAAGAGAAAGTCTAAAGTTCTACGATATGAGGATCAAGGGGTTTGGCTGTGGTTTATGGACCATAGGTCTTCGATCTGGTGGGGTCCAACCACGATCGCGACTTCTGAAGCTCAGTCCATGGGATGGACGTCATGGCAGTAAGGTCACTTTCGATTTCACGATAAAATACGCCAGTAACATCCATGAAAACACCAAGTACTCGCGTGAGGTGCGCCAGGTGAACCCCAGCTGTCAGGTACACCGACTCAAAATAACAGTCTTGCAAAGTCAGTTCAGGCAGTATACCAGCTACCTATACAATTGCCCAAGACAAGTTTCTCAGACCATCTGATGAACCAAGTACTGCATTCAAAATTTACCAAGATATATCTGTGCTTTCTCTGCTACCTAAAGAACCTGGGACATTGCCATACTTAACTCCTTTTCCTCCTTTGACTTTAGGTGCTGTGAGATGTCGAAATACACCCTTCCCAAGTTTACTGTACAACGGAAGGACTCCGCCCGACTCGACAAGAGCTTCCTCAACATCTGACTGCATGTAATAAAAGATCACATCTGAGCCTTCGATTTGAATGGTCTTGGTATCTTTGTTGATGTTGATGACAGAGTCTTCCTGCGCAAGTTCGTAAAACGTCGGGTCTTGGATCTTTATGCTGAACAGGCCCATATTGAGTTGATTTCTCTCATCTAGTTATGTCAGTCATGGCTCTTTGCGGTTGTGAGTCAGAAACTCACAGATAAAGGCAAACCCTTTCGCTATCACTGCCTCGACGCCTGCTCCCTGGAGGGCTCTGACGGCGTCTTCACGTGAAGATCCACTGCCAAAGCCATGTTCGGCAACACTTTGTCATGTTAGCGTCGGTCAAAGCAAGGTGTCGCAAGAGGCTTACATAACAGTTGAACCATTCTTTGCCTTGTCCCTGAACTCAGGACGGAAATACTGGAAACAATGGCTTCCGAGATCAGCATTGTCAACTCCTGGCATGAACTCCGCAGGGATGATTGCATCACTGTAGTTGTCAGTCAAGGTCATTTGAAGTGGGATCTCGTTCAACTCACGTATCGACATTTTCTCCAAATCGCTGCACCTTAGATCGAATGATCCTCGGGGTAGTGGCTCCGACGTCAGAGTCACTGCTGCTGAGGAGTACGGGTACGGAGTTGGATGATATCTCGGGTCTCGGTTCGCTAATCCTTAATTCTGGTTGAGGCCCACTGGACCTCCCTCCGCTGACAAGCCGCTCAAGCTTTGCGCTATCCAACTGATCAAGCAGGAACTTGGGATCAGTGACAACCATGTCAAAGCTTGAGGCAGCAACAGCAGCCGCACAGGTAATGTTGCCGAAACTTCCCTTACCCATTCGGTTTCTAAAGTTGCGATTCTGTGAGGACAGCCAAACCTCTCCTTCGCCAGCGACATCAACATCATTGATACCAACACAGTAAGAGCAGCCAGGCGCGCCAACCTCAAAGCCAGCTTGTCTGTAAATGTCTAACAGACCATGCTTGTCGAGGTTCTTAATGATGATTAAGCTTCCTGGCGTTACGCGACGTTTTCCGTGTCGAGATGGTCGCATACCTGCATACAGACCAGCTTCGAGCACCAAAGCGCCGATGATGAGGTCTTCTTCTGTTGTTGTGCAGGCACCGATGAAGCATCCATCAAGCTTCATACGAGCCTTTTCATGAATCGGAACAACATCATCCGGGTTCGGATGCAGGGCCATGGTGAGACGGACTTCCGAGAGATCAATCGTTCTCACATCGACATATTGAGCGTCTGGGTCGGCCTGGAAAAAGAGACCACCTTCGCGATGCTCTGGGAGTTTTCGACGTGCGATCCATGCTGAAGTCTCTTGATCAGCCTCGAAGCAAGTACCCATCCCTCCGAACTCGGTTGTCATGTTGGCAATAGCGAAACGAGCATCCATAGACAGTTCCTTCAGACCAGGACCGCCATACTCCACAGCTCGCTGAAAGGCAATCGTGTTGCGCTTGAAGAGTCCAAGTATATGAAGAATCACATCTTTGCCACCAACGCCGAAAGGAAGCTTTCCCACGAAATTGATACGGCAAACCTCAGGTACACGAAACCAGGTTTCGCCAGTGACCATCGGCATGACAACATCAGCTGCTCCAAAGCCAACAGCGAAAGAGCCCATGCTCCCCGCAGAACACGTATGCGAGTCACTCCCAACAACTATACGACCAGGTTGAGCACGTTCACGAGTAAAATCAGTGTGCATGATACTCGTGTTAGCAGGAAGGAAGTCAATGATCTTGGCCTCTCGTCTGAAACGCTCCGCCTTCGCTATGAGACCTTTCTGTCGAGGCTGATGGTTTGTTCGTGGGTCAACGGTATGGTCCACGGCAAGCCAGAGACGATCGTTACGGAATGGGCGAGGTCGTCCCATTTGGTTGTAGGTCTTCTCCATGCCGCCCCAGAGGAGCTCGGATGTAAGCGTCCAGTCGACCTTGACGCAGATCATATCTCCCGTCTCGACGTATGGCTTGCTAAGACCAATGCCGGCATGTGTCAAGATCTTCTCAATGACTCCCATGGGTCGGGTATTCGTGGTGTCCCTTGGCGATGATGGTGGGGAAATGGATACCGGGAGAGAAGCAGCGTCGGCTGAGTTCAGAGCCTCCAAGTAGTAGTCAAGGTTGTGTAATAGAGTCTCCATGAACTTCTTGGGTGATGCTGTTCCACCGAGGTCAGTCGTCCTCGTGTCAGATCCAACTTGGTCAATAGGATCAAGAGTTCGTCGAATGGCTTTGGATAAGGCTGCGGCCTCTAACTTCAGACCTAGCGACAGCTCTAGCATCAACCCAACAGCTTGAACGACGCCAAGCGGGTTCACTTCACCCTCTCTTGGTTTAAGGTTGAATGGCTCGAAAACACCAGGAGCTTTGCCTTTACCATATATGGTGGACACAGCCGCTGATGCCAGAATGTCTGGAGACTTTAGTATTCCACTAGCCTGATCTGATAGGATATCGCCAAACATGTTTTCTGTCAGAATTATTCCGTTCAATTCCTGGGGATTTGATGATAATATCATAGCTGCATTGTCAACCAGAACGTGGTACAGCTGCACCTGAGGGTACTCGTGGCTGAAGACGTCGGTGACAACAGATCTCCATAATCGTGAAGTCGCCATGACATTGGCTTTGTCGACTGAGTGAACTCGCTTTGATGGGTTGAATTGCATTGCATATGTGCCAGCCAGTCTTGCCAGTCTCTCCATGGTAGAACGCGAGTAGCTAGTGGTGTCGTATGCTTCACCATCCTCTCCCGCTTCTTGCTTCTCTCCATAGTAGGCACCACCCGTCAAGTCTCGGAGAAAGGTGATATCAAGACCCTCAATCGCCTCCGGCTTATATGAGCTGAGTGAAATAAGCGACTCCGATGGAAACTTGACGGGTCTGATATTGGCGAATAGTCCGAGCTGTTGTCGAAGTGCCAACAATCCCTGTTCTGGCTGTATGCCGTACTTGGGGTCACCGCAGGCACACACGACGGCAGCATCAGATTGGCGGCATGCTTCTAGAGTGGAGGTTGGCAGGGAGCTTTGGTGGCCAGCTGCTAACGCCACGCCTCCGAAATCATGTTGGGATATTTGGAATGCAACATCTGGGCGAATGTGTTCTATCAGATGCAAGATTTGTTCAGCGCATGATGCAAGTTGCGAGCCGTGTGCATCTCCTGGTAGGAGTGCTATTTTGAATGATAATTGATCTTTAATGAGAGGCATGTTGATGGCTTGGAGTTGTTCGGTTGGGCAGATCGGTCAACATCACAAGATTCGCAATTAAATAGGCCAACTACCACTTCAATAGGCACAAAAAATTTCCGACATCGGAATCTCAACCGAGGATACAGGACTCAAACCAAGCCCGGCTTGTAGTGATGCTGACCTTTGCCATTCCCCTCAGTTGTTTGCAACATGACGGTCCGCCCTTACCCGGTCTTAGCGCCATTCCCCATGCTCCACCACAAAGGCTCCAGCCCATAACATCGCAGCTCGTTGTTATGATTGGAGATCGGCAGAAATGCTCTTCGCAGTGGCTGGGATGCGGGCGATGTAAGTTCAGCGAACTCGCAGCCTCTGTTGAATTGGGGGCGAAAAATGATCAGGGTCTTTGAAAGTTGAGCCAAGTCGCCTTCACCTTGCCAAGCAGCGCAGTCAGCAATAGGGTAATTCGAGATAGATCACTGTCTTTTGGCTTTATCTCCATTCTGCATACTCGGAACAAGCTACGTGGCACTATGGGAGCTCCTCTGACTTGTAGTAGCTAAGAGTATCTTGTTAATTGATTCAGCTTTCTGCCATGCTTTCATTATTCAATGGCTGTAATCCGACTATCTAATCCTTCCACTGATGACCATTGGCTCCATTAGCCCTTCCCTCATATTGATACTTCTCCTCAATCTCATAATACTTATTAAAGCCAACACCCTCACAAACTTCGTCATACGAGAGAACAACAGGAGGCTTCCCAACCGTCATGGAACCCTTGATATTCTCCAGTGTCTCCCTTATACTCTTCAACTTAGCAGCGACAAGAGTCCAAGGATAACAGACGATGCTGTAACCAAGCTCAGCGAGGTCTTTTGCTGAGAGATTCTGTGTTTTGCCACCCTCAATGATGTTGGCCACCACTGGGAAGTCTAGGTCCTTACGAAGACGTTCCATGGACTCACGATCAGGAAGGGCTTCGACAAACACGGCATCGACCCCGATCTCAATGGCTTTGCGTGCCCTGGTAAGTGCCTCAACGTAACCATGAATCAGACTGTCCGTGCGGGCGAGGATCCAGATGTCCAAGCCTTCGTTCCTAGCGTCGACAGCGGCTTGCCAGCGAGCGTAAGCTTCACTTCGGGACACCACACTTTTGCCAGCAGTGTGGCCACAGCCTGTTCACTCGAAGTTAGTACAATGATCTTGTTGTGAGGGTGTTTCGACATACGCTTTGGCCACGATTGGTCCTCGAGCATAATCCCAGCAGCTCCAGCCTGTGCAAATCTGTTCATTGAGTCAGTTGATACCTCTCTACATCTTGTGATCACATAAACATACCCTTGCACAGTTCGGCGAACATTCATTGGGCTTCCATAACCAGTATCGCCATCAACAAGAATAGGAACATTGACCTCCCTGGAAACCTCCTGGATCTTGTTGACAACCTCTCCAAAGGCGATGTACCCTGTATCGGGCAGTCCAAACGCAGACGCCATAGGGTACCCAGCAAGAAAGACAACAGGAAACCCAGCCTCCTCGCATAAGCGGGAGCTCAAGGCATCATAGCTGCACACATTGGCGAGAATCTTGGAGGGGTCGCTATGCGCCTCTTGCACCATGGCTCTGAGCTTGGAAGCTTGCAGGGAGGGTCTTGCACCCCGACAGTTGGTGTACTCAACCTTTACTCCCTTTCCATTGGGCTTGATGGCGGGATACTCGCTTGCCTCGAATTGGAAAGGGTAGGGCTTGGTGTTGACGATGGACTTGGACATGTTGGTGACTTGAGTGAGATGTGATATGTGAGGCTGAAGAAAGTTTGACTTATTAGTTCTCTGAAACTCTCCGTTGCTTGTTATTATTTCTGCTTAGTTGATCACACTGTCATTCATATTTTATACGCAATTTCCCCTCTTCCCTCTACGATGGCTTCTGTCCAGATGGCCGACGATCGGTGCCGACTCGGCACTTGGCCATTACAGCATGCAATTATAACGTGTATTTAGGTCTGGCAAGTCCTCCATAGCTGTCGGGGTCATTGGCCTGCACGTAGGCCTTCATGGTTGTGGACTGTCGCATCTTCCATGCGGTCCGTGAACTAACGGACCAGGCCGGATACGGCCGGACCGAGACGGATACTACCGGCACCCAGAATCATCATCACCCCGTCAGCCACTCTCAACCCCGGACCATCAAGAATCATCTTCCCCGGCTCAATTCGTTGTATTTTCTCCGCTTATCACTTTTCCTTTCACACAGACCGTCCATCCGCAATGGAGAGCCCGGATCATTCCAGCAGTACCCGACAGTTCAAGCGCAGCTACGTCGCATGCGTCTCGTGCCGAGCGCGCAAATCACGATGCATCATCAAAGACAACCCACCCTGCGCTAAATGTGCCAGGGAACACCGCGAGTGTCGGTTCGATCGCCGGCCCAGGGCTCCCAAGCACCGCGATGCCCCGAAATGGACCCGTGGGAATGTGAATGCTGTGGACGCTGCACGCGCTGCCCAACCTGTTCAGGCGGCGAATCACTCCCCTTCTGAGGACCTTGGTTTCAATTCGTCGCCCAATAATACCAACCATCCACTGTACAATAGAGTGCAGTCAACGATAGTCACTGGGACTAATGATGCGATGGACTTCCTGTCAAGTGCCGCAGGACAGCATAGCATCGCTGGTTCAGCGCCATCTCAAGGGCATCCTTCGGCGAGCAATGTCCAGTCCGATGGCCCCAAAGTCGTATCCGGTGGATCCAATGGAGTCGGGTTCACCATCACGGCCCTTTCAGAACCAGATGATGCTTGTCTAGATATGTGGGATAAGTGTCGCTTCGTTCGTCAGGGATGGTTCACGGCACAAGAGGCTGTCACCTACATCGACCTGTAAGTTCGCTCCATGTCTCTACCCTCGACTCTCACACTAACTACCATAGCTTCTTCAAAAAGCTTGCTCCACTATCTCCTGTCGTCCTTGACCAATTCCGCAGCCATACATCTCACGAACATCTTGTTTACAGGGAAGCCATGCTATGCTGCACCCTTCTCATGATCTCATCTCGCTTCTTCACACTACCGGGTGCAGGCGGTACATCTAGAAGCCACTATGTACACCAGCGCCTCTGGAATCACTGCGAAGTCCTTATACGGCGCATCGTGCTAGGGCAAGAAAAGACATCAACCTCCCAGACAAGAACTATCGGCACAATAGAGAGCCTGATTCTGATATCCGATTGGCACCCTCGCGCTTTGCATCTCCCTCCTGAGACAGATGGCTGGGATGGCCTACTTGTAACGCCTGGTTATGACCGAGTCAATCGCAAGCATATCAACAACGAAGTTCCTCTGATTCGCTGGCGGGAAGATGTCTTTGAACCAGCCAAGAGGGCAAACAGAATGTCATGGATGCTTCTTGGTATGGCTAACAACCTTGGCTATGAACTTGGGATCTTCTCAGGTCAGACGGGCGATATTGGCCATCCCGTGCATGCTGAGGTACTTCGTGGACGTCGAGCTCAGAAGCTTCTTTACAACTATTTGACTCAGACAGCCACGAGACTGGGCTATCCTTCCGTTTTTCCTGAGAGCATATCTGTCATTGCATCACGTCTACCAATGCCAGATGCGAGTGAACCAGTTGACCAGTCCTGGATTTCTTATATGGACCTCAGTTTGGAGCTTACCCAACTGTCGCGTACAGCATCTTCGATGTTCTTTCACTCAGCGGCCCATCTGCAAACACAAGTACTTGGAGACCACTATCTAGATCTACTTGAACACTTCTCGGCATCTCTGTCAAAGTGGCAAGAGAGGTTTAACCGCATTAGCCAAGGTAATTCATCTCTGGCGTCCGATCAGTTACTCAGCTAACCTAGTCACAAGACATCGCTTCACCGCTCAGAGACACCCTGTTAGTTGAGTTTCATCATACCAAAGCATGTACAGGTGCCATCTCCATCCAGGCTGTAGTAGCCCGAGCTTCCTCTGCTGGTTTCACAGCCGCCGCCACCAACTCTGATGAAGCTCTATCAGCTTTCATAACCCCGAAAGACGCCAAGTTCTTGCAAGAGGTCATCTTTGACACAAAAAAGGTTCTGCATATTGCAACCATGAGCGGTTTCAGAGACCATCTCCCTTTTGCACCAGCCCGTGTCAAGATTAGCGTCATTAGTTCATCTGTCTTCCTTCTCAAGGCTCTCAGCGTCGGCTCCACCCATACGGATGTGAATGACGCTTTGTACACTTTAGACCAATGCACAACAACACTTAAGCAATGCCCTGCGGATGATATGGACTTTGCGTTGAGATATGCGGATCTCATCGAGAAACATACCGCACAGTTTCGAGCCCATCTTACACAGTCCAGAGGTCTAGGTTCTGGTAATCACAGTGGGCGGGCTTCGATTCCGATGAATATGGTTCAAGGAGAGACTAGCATTGATGGCTCAAACTCATTCTTGTCTGGACTAGACTCCCAACAGCTTGGAGATGATGGGGCAATGATGAACTTTGATATGGGGGATACGTGGGTCTCTCTTCCGTTTGACTCGAGCATAGCTCCTTTCGGCGAAGGGGGTGATCAAGTCGCTCTGGGGCTGGATGTGGATGCGTTGAACTTCTTGTGGAGTTTGCCTGAGCTTGTGCAGGATGGCGAGACTGGCTTCGCTTAGCAAGTTAGCATTGATATCAACACTTGCGGAGTAAATGTGAACATGTTGAAAGCGACTAGTACGTTTTAACTATCTGTGTGTACTTTTGCAGACCGAATTATTGATCGAGCCGCCCCAGTAGGTTTGTGGCAGCATTCAATGATCTTAAATGGCACCAGGCCCACCATCCACTAGTGTCCGCCGACGTTCCAGATCATGAGTTCCTGGTTACCACGACGGTCCGGAGGCATCCGCCTATATCCGGTGGGATGGGGCGGCAAGGCGTGGCTGGCCAAGACAACCAAATGGAAAAGATTAGCCGATATTGCATTTCGTGTATTCTTTTGCCAAGGCTCTCACTCGATGAGAATTCCCTATCATGCCAGTATGAAGCAACCGCTGGCATATATGATATATTGTTCAAGAGCTGATTGTATTGAGAGAGTATCGTGGTCCGGGCATTTGATGTTCTCACACGGACCCATGCAAAAAGTAGTAGTGACATCATTTTCCAAGATCCCTAAGCAGGCTGGTCAGTGAACGGTGTCCAAGAGGCAAGTAGCCCCTACAACGCTAAGGCTGAACCTAGTTCACATACCTGCCATCCCAACCGAAAAATAGTGCCATCTTAACGCGGGGTAATCTGGGGTAACCAGGGCACTGGTAATACAAGCAAGGCAACTCGTCGCCACGGTTCAGGAGAGAGACAAGTATCTATATCAATGGCAGCCCATTCGCCATTTCCAACGAGGATCATCAAACACCTCAATTCAAACTTCTTTATCTCTTTGCAACATGTCCAATGCCCAAGACAAAAATCAGCCTGAAGCCCTTGATGTTGAAGAAAAGGGACACTCTGATCACCTCGAGAAGCATGACACCCACATCTTCTCGGCGGTCGATGAGACCGGTGCACACAAGAAGATCGATCCAGCTGAGATCAAGCTTGTGAAGAAGCTGGATTGGATCATTCTTCCGATTCTGTGGATCATGTACTGGTTCAACTATCTTGATCGCAATGCTATCACTGTTGCGCGTCTTGATGGACTTGAGAAAGAGCTCAACTTGACTTCTACAGAGTACCAGACATGCGTCTCGATCCTCTTTGTCGGATACATCCTGGGTCAAATTCCATCCAGTGAGTCGACCAATGCTATACCTCCCTTCTTCAGCTGACTGATCTATCCAGACATGCTCATGACCCGAATCCGACCTTCCCTCTACATGTCAGGCGCCATGGCTCTCTGGGCCGTCGTTAGCACTCTCACAGCCATCTGCCACGACTTCAAAGGCCTCGTCCTCACACGATTCTTCCTGGGTGTAACCGAAGCACCTTTCTACCCCGGTGCGCTTTACGTCCTCTCGATCTTCTACACTAAAAAAGAGATAGCAACCCGTATCTCTATCCTGTTCACAGCCAACATCTGTGGAACTGCATTTGCAGGACTTATCGCGATTGGCGTGTTTGAGATGAGCGGAGTTGCGGGTCTGGCTGGATGGAGATGGCTCTTCATCCTCCAGGGAATCATCACCTTTGTCATCTCCCTCGCTTCAGCCTTCGTCTTGCCCGATGAGCCCAGCAATACCCGTTGGCTCACAGAGGAAGAGAGAATCCTAGCCCATGAACGAATTGCGGCCGATACTGTACAGATCCGAACCAACACGACGACCTTTGCGGGACTCATCGACGCCTGCAAGGATCCTCGTCTCTGGGTCCTCGTCTTCATGCAACACTTTCACATGGCTGCTAGCAATTTCAAGAACTTTTTCCCCACCATTGTAGGAACACTTGGCTTTGATCGCAACACTACACTTGCCTTGACCTGTCCTCCGTATATCGTGTCGGGCATCGTCTGCATCGCGTGGGCCGCAAACTCTGGTAAAGTCCCTATACCGAGGCTTTCTCGAGCGTAATCTAACATCAGACAGGTCGGATGAACGAAAGGACTTGGCACATCACCGTGGCGAAGGTCATGGCTGTTTTCGGCTTCATCTTAGCCTGCACGGTGCACAATACTGGTGCCCGCTACTTCGCAATGTGTGTCTTTGCTAGCGGTGTCTATGCCTGCAACAGTGTCATTCTAGGCTGGGTCGCTAGTACGTGCGGTCAAACCAAGGAAAAGAAAGCCATATCTCTGGCTCTAGCAAACACGGTTGCGACGCTTGGGCCTATCTACACTCCGGTAAATTCATCAATCCTTGATGGTTGCCCGCGACTGACACCATCCAGTATCTATGGCCTAGTTCAGATGAGCCGATGTATCCTGTTGCCATGTCTAGCAGTGCCGCCTTCTCCGCTGCATCGGCTGTCTTGGCCTGGGTCCTCAGATGGATGCTCATCCGTGAGAATCGCAAGATTCGGGCTTCAAACAATGAAGAGAGGCTCTTCTACGCTTACTAGATTTGGTAATACATTTTGGTGGTCCTGTAAAGATATTCAAGTAGCCTCTCAAGTTATGCTAGTTACGGAAAATGACATTGTGTCCCTTGACTAGTTCTGCCAAGCCTCAGAAATTCCAACGGCAGAATTTCCTTTCATAGGGAGACCCGCAGTTCCAATCAATGCTTAACACAGACTCCTATGTAGCCATTAGAGACAATAGCGCACACTACCCTCCACCTATGGCTTTAACCCCAACACCAGACGCAGCCTTTGATGGCTCACCGACATTTCTCAGCACCCTCCCAGACCCCGACCACCACTGGAGAGTAATGCTGAAGGACAAGGTCATCTCCATAACTAGCGCCAACAGGGGCATCGGTCTCGGCATGGCAGAGGTCTGTCTAGCCAACGACACTGCCGCCGTCTTTAGCCTTAATCTCTTCGAGCCTGGCAACGAGTTTGTCTTTAGCTATTGGAATAAGAGCTAAAGACCTCTGTTTAATCTCAGAGCGAATGTGTAGTACATCCTGTACGACTGCTGAGTATCGGTTATGGCTATGGTCGGCATCGCAAGCAGCTACAGGGATTGATGGACATTCAGCTGCAATTGCAGCCTATAGCCGAGAAGAGGATGGAAATCATGATATGATAGATGCCGAAATGGACTATGCAGGGCAGTTCAGCCAGCCACCCTGTCGTGCAGTGCGCCCAAATGAGAATGACTTTTTGAAAGCCAGGAGCTGATGCTCCGTGCTACAGTGTCATTTGACAGACGGTTTGCCGAAATTTTCTGCATCTTGTAAGGATTCGTCATGTCATGTGCGACACGGACAGCGACGCACGACCGTCTCATACGGCCCGTGCATAATATTGGCAATATATGCATAATATTGGCAATATATGCATAATATTGATATGATTAACCATACTGGTCTGCATATTAGCCCTGCAAAGCCTCGTTTTGGACATGATCTCCAAGGACATCCAGCTGAATACCCATAGCCAGCTGTCAAATGATGCGATTACATTACATACTTAAACGAGATGAAGTAGGTATCTCTCTAGATACCTTTTAGCGCCAAATACCGGTACATCCCTCTCGGCTCCTTCTTTAATGAAGCTGCATAATTAACTTACTGTGATAGGGATTAATCCCTATTCTCAGCTCACGCTAAAGCCTCTCTGTATCGCATATCCCTACTATTCTCGTCTAATAGATTATTACAGTATAGCTATAGGGCGAATTATTAGACTTATACCCTATAATATCTTACTTAGATATTAATCTCCTTAATATAAATATTACTATTATATTATATTAAAGTTCTATAAACCGGTTTACTATTAAGTATAATAGTATTTTAAAGTTCTATATATAGTAAAGCTTGCTTATAATTCTAAATACAGTATTATAGCTCCTTACCTAACCTTATCATACCTTAATTAAGTATTATAGTTTCTTTTTTTATTAAGGCATATCAGTTACACCAGAGCCGATTAGTATCTTATAAAAAGAATTTACTTAAAGCTATATAAATAACCTTCTTAATATAGAAGCGGGATAAGAACTAGATCTGCAGTGCTAAGCGGCCTGAACTTTTAATACTACCTTAGTAAGCACTGGCAGGTAAAGAACAGACATCAGTATATAAATAATACATCAATCAATCAACTAGTGGATTTTGGTAGAGTTGATCGGAACCTCAGGCCGCTCTAATAGGTACCGGTATCATACAATTAACGACTCCTGGGGCAGTGGCTGGCTGTTTCCCTAGAATCGGTAAAAGACATGGATAAGTATTACGCCGGATTCCTTTTTCTATCATATCAAATACTGAATCTTTTCTGACATGCTACTTAGAATTCTTTTTACCAAGAGCTAAAGCTTAATCGCGTACTACCTTGAAGTTCAGCAGCCAGCCTTAACAATCATCACTCGACCAATAAACGCTCAGCAGACCGGGCCGAGAATCGACAGCGCCGAAGTCTCCCCGCCTAGCTACGGTTTTCAGCTAGCGCCACATACAGATCCTCGCTTTATCAGAGATACCTATCAAGGATCCATTTCCATATCTGGAACAATTGAGGCCAGATGATATGGCATGTCGCTTAAAAGGATCAGATACATGATATATTGGTCCTTACCACACCCCAGATACCCCTCCTTCTAATATATCAGGCAACTGGAAGAGGTTGAGGCTGCCTAAAAACAGCACATCTTAATCCTATCAAGGTATCATATTCTTATCACACCAAGTCTCAGTAATCAGTCTAATATCATGCGACTTCTAGGGAATATGCTCAGCAGGTCTAAGTTTGTCCAATAGAATCTCACTGCCAGTTAATACGTAACCTGCCAAGATATTTTGGGTAGAGAAAGTCAACAATTGCATCGGAGCAGCTGTAGCTGAACCGCATAAAAGCCAATCGGAACCCGTATAAAATCGCTCTCAAGAGAAGCTAATAGAAGCCACAGGCAGTGCCGATCGTTCAAGGGAGGGCACGGCAGCAGGTAGCGGGCCAACTTTGTACAATTGTAAGATATAGACTCCACCAAGGTGTTAGTTATAAAGAAGCATCTATCCCTCCTCTTTCTTTTAAATATCATCCTTTTCATCTTCATCCTTTCTATAGTTATTATATTTACTTAACGGCCTTACTATTATTTAAAAACAATATCATTATTAAACAGTCAAGATAAGCACTGATATAATAACCTATTTGGATTACATTTCCACTTGGGAAACGGAGAGTGACGAGAACATCGACAGACTAATTAAGGAGCACAACCTGTTCACCAGTCTGGGTGACTTCTCATGAGAGTCCGCTGTCAACAGCGAATTTGACATGCTTATCGACTTGGCAGACGTAGTGCGTAATACTACTATTACCGCGGACGCAACTCAAATCGCTGCCGATACCGCCGCGGTGGCGGCCATCTGGTCGTTCGGCCTTAGCATGGCCGTGTTCGCCACACTTGAGGCTACCGAGATAATTAAAAGAGCCGTAATCTCTCAGAAATCGGGGGAACTGAACGCCAAATTGAAAACCGTCGATACCGATATCTCGGCCAAAATCGGTAATAAGGTTCACCGTTACATTGTCCAGTACAAGGCTAATAACAACTTGATTCAGTCGAAATCGCCAAAAGGCCTCGATACCAAAAAATGCCGCTCACTGCTCATGCAGTTCATGGCCGAAGTGCAAAAGTCTACCGGAAACCTCGATGTCGCTTCTTTCAAGAAATACGCCGAGTCGGCGCGGAGGCTCTATAATAGCGATGAGATCAACAAAGTTTACGACGCTTTGGATGATTTGAATTTCAGTTCAAAGTCGGACGACGATATCCAGAAGTTCCTGGGTGTCATCCAGGGACTGGATTACCCTAGCACGGCCATGGCAATCGTCCGAGGCATTTCGATTGCCATCATGTATTACAAGCTGAACATCGCCAGCAACAAGATCGAAGCCAACGCCCAGGCGGCTGGATTCGATGCTGCAGAGGTGGAGGCGAGCACTTTCGAGATGCTCGATGCAGTGGGACAGTTCTTCACCGTCGTTGCGGTCGTCATGTCTGTGATCGATACGGTGTTGGAAATCCTCGACATCGTCGACGTGGTGGAGCAGACAAAGCAGATGTGCGACAAATTGAACGGGCCCATCAAAGACAACTACAAGACGTATTTCGGTGGCATCAAGACTGCATCTCAACAATACAACGCCGCCATCACTCAGGCCAAGTCTCGTTACGGGTGAGACATCAAGCCTAACTTATGGAGTATGATACAAGCGAGGATAAGTATCCATTACCCTATTTCCTCATGCTCCAAGTCACGAAGTGACTGGAGCGGCTACTGTCATTGAGATGTTGAGAAGAAGATGCCTTAGGGATTGCTACATATGGTATAAACAAGGACATCAGACTACCCTCATTTTTATTAGATATACAATTAGAATGCCGCTTATTTTTTCTACCTCTATTCTTACTTTTAGTTATATAAATTTAAAAACCTATTATTATGCGAAAACCTAGACTTAGTAAACTAGTTATACTTTATATTAAAATTCCTAATTATTCTTAAAGTATTTAAGTTAGAAAAAGGTTAAAAGGTATAGAGTATAACTAAAGCAGAAATATATCTACGATAAGCTTTCTACTCAAGGATTCTAATCAGAAACAGGAGCTGTTCTAGGTTTTAGATTAATCAAGACTTTAAAAATCCTACCCTCTCTTTCTAACTTAAAACAGGGCCTATTCTTACCTATAATAGATATAATAAATATTACAATCTCAGCAGTTATGTCACATATACCCTATAATTTTCTCCACTTAACCCACTAACTAGGAAAGGACTAATACTTATAGGACTAATAGCATTCTAGGACTATATTATTCTAGGACTAATAATAACCTTATATTATATTATTTTATAGAACTATATTTAGTATATAGATTATATTTATTAGCACTTTTATAGATTTTAGCTTACTAGCTATTAA